CAACAGCCAGCAGAGTGATCTTGTCTGCTGTGGACTCATCTTGTTGTGTTTAAAATAATAATATTATTAAAAACTATAATAATAACTTTATTTTTATACCCGCCTCCATCTCCCCAAAGGGAATTGGGGCAGCTTACAAAGGGACAAGCCCAGAGAGCACAAAGTTAAAAACATAACACAATAAGACAACATCGGCACACTGGGTGCAGTGCCTAAAGACCTTGGCCTGCACTTAAACACAATCAGCGCTGACAAGATTACCATCTACCATCTGCAGGCGGCCACCTTACTGGGATCTGCACACATTATTTGCCGATACATCACACAGTCCGAGACACTTGGGAAGTGTCCGATGTGTGGTCCAATACAACAACCAGCAGAGTGTCTGCTGTGGACTCATCTCGTAGTGTTTCAAATAATAATGGTTTTGCATTGGTTGCAAACGATTTAGCTTGAATGACTTTGTACTTTAATTGCATTTCCTGGTGTTTTAGGTGATCAGATCAGGGCAGAAGCTGCTGAGGAAGAAATCGGCCGATGGAGAGAAGAAAGGCGGCGGTTGGTTCAGCGGACTTTGGGGGCGGAAGGACTCCAAGAAGAAAGACGACGAGGAAGAGCCCTCCGTTCCGGAAAGTAGGTCAATAGGGTGGGAGGCTTTGAAACGGAGGCTGGATGGCCATCTGTCGGGAGGGCTTTGATTGTGTCTTCCTGCATGACTTTTGCAACCCAGATCAGGAAATGAGACCATAAGATTAAATCCACCACACTTGACTGTGGGAAAGAACAATCCTTTTTTATTGATGAAAAATGGTTACAAAATAGAGGAAAATGCAAAGTCAAAATGCCACAGTAAAACTCAGCAGTCAGGAATATCTCTGAACTAGATCAAAATTCCAAAAGCAACACTATAAAAACCTGGAACCTGTTAGCATTTCACTAACCGTACTTGGAAACTAGAAGCCTCTGGGAATGCAGGCCATGGGAAACGGGAACTCTGCCAAGGTAATGCCTCAGTCTAAACGATGCTTGATCTAACGAGACAGCCCGGGGGGAGACACTTAAAACTAAAGAAACTGTTTCGGGACACGCCTCCAGGCTTTGAAGCCTGTGCCTCCCTTTCCCTTAATCTGCTTGACCTTCGCAGACTCTGTGATTCACTCCTGTTTTTCCAAATCTGTCCTTTTCTATCCTCATTAAAAAAGGCAGGTGCTAGCTCCTCTGGAGAGTTATCACCGCTTGATTCTGAAACATTCTCATCAGGATGTGTAGTTTCACTTTCCAAGCCACTGCCCTCAGAATCAACAGTTTCCAAACCATCAGGGAAAAATACATGTTCAGTAGCCTGTTCAGTTGCATCAGGAAATACAATCAAAGAATCAGGTTCTGGTTCACACGGAGGCTGAACCCCAACAATGACAACTGAAGAGGGGTGGACTGGATGGCCCTTGGGGTCTCATCCAACTCTAGCAGTCTATGGTTGTGTTATCATTATTATAGTTGTTATGATTATTAAGCGGAGGCTGGGTGGCCATCTGTCAGGAGGCATTGGATGGTGTCATCTACTTCATGGCGAAATGGGGTCAGGTTGGATGTCCTTTGGAGGTCTCTTCCAATTCTAGGATTCTTTTAAATCCCCAAATTTCTTGCCATTCTGATTTCACTCCGTCCACAATCTCTCTATAATTCAAAATTTTTGTGTTCAATCTCCACCTCCTCATTTTGTCATCATCACATTTCAAGGCAATCTCAATTGACACCAGTGCATGATCCGAAATCTTAATTATTCCAATATCAGCGTTTAACAATATACTTAACACGTTTTTAGAAACAAAAATATAATCTATTCTTGTATAAACTTTATGTACAGCTGAGTAATATGCATATATTTTTTTCATTTCCCTTTATCAATCTCCACACATCCTTTAATTGCCATTTATTCATCACTCTACCTATGTCCGTTGTTTCACTATTTCTAATTTTTGACATTTGCGTAGTTTTATCTTTTTATTTTTGGTCCATATAACAATTACAATCCCCTCCATATATTACATATTGTTGGTGATAGTTCTCTATCTGACCTAGTACTTTTTCATAAAATTCTTGCTGTTTTACATTTGGTGCGTATACATTTACTAATACATATTTATCCTCCCCTATTTCACCATACATTATTATATATCTGCCTTCCTCATCTTTCGATACCTTGTTTATGACAAAGTTACATTTCTTTGCAATTATTATAGCTACACCTCTTGATTTTGATGACCCAAAGGATTTTTCATAGTTCCTTATCCAACTCGATTACAATCCATTAGAACCCGGTTTATTCTGGTGTGTTTCCTGTAAGAAGATAACATCCGCTGTGTCTTTCTTCAGTAGGGCTTCAATCCTCCTTCTTTTAATTACCGTTTCTAAACCTCTAGTGTTTAGTGTTGATATTCTTTATTTATTGGACTTCATTTCCATTTAAAAACTTTTTTGTGGCTTGACCCATTGTGAACCCTTGTCCCTTATAATCCCCCCCTCTTTCCCCCCTGTTTCCCCTCCTCCCCTCATTCCTCCCTTCCTCCCTTTCCATTCTTCGGGACTTCGGGGGAGACACTTAAAACTAAAGAAACTGTTTCGGGACATGCCTCCAGGCTTGGAAGCCTCCTTTTCCTTTAATCTGCTTGACCTTCGCAGGCTCTGTGATTCACTCCTGTTTTTCCAAATCTGTACTCTTCTATCCTCATTAAAAAAGGCAGGTGTTCGCTCTTCTGGAGTCCCAATCATGGCCCCCAGCCTTCCCGGGGGTGGGGGGGGGGTGGGCGGCAAAATCATCCTGTGATTCTATTGTTTTTATTGTTATGATTAAGCCTCTTGGCGGGGGTTGGACTGGATGGTCCACGAGGTCTCTTCCAACTCTATGATTCTAAGTAGGGGCTGGGTGGCCTATTATTATTATTATTATTATTATTATTATTATTATTATTATTGTGCCACCAGGGGCTCCATTTAAATTCTTACTTTTTGGTTAGTTATTGTAAATTTATATTGATGTTGTTTTATTTATTGTGTTGATAGTTTTGTCTGTTTTGTTATGACATTGAATGTTTGCCACTTTTGATGGAAAGCACCCTGAGTCCCTCCGGGTTTCAAATATATTACTATTACTATTACTATTATTATTATTATTGTTATTATTATTATTAATAATAATAAAACTATTTTTACCCGCTACCATCTCCCCAAGGGACTCAGTGCGGCTTACATGAGGCCGAGCCCACAATACAACAATACAAGCAATAACAACAACAATACATGCAATTAAAATAAATCACATAGACAATAACATGAGCATTGACAATAGTACAACACACTTTTAAAATCTATGGCTAGGCCAAAGGTAATTAAAAATTATTATTATTATTATTCTGACACAAAAACACAGTACGTCACAGCAAATAAGATCTATATGCTGGATTTCGTATCACAAAATCTCAAGTCAAAACACTTCCCAAGCGTCTAGGACTGTGCGATGAATTTTCGAATGATGCGCCCAGATGTAAAGTGACCTTTATTATTATTATTATTATTATTATTATTATTATTATTATTATTACAACAATAGTAACAACAACACTTGGGAAGTGTCCGACCTGTGATCCAGTTCAACAGCCAGCAAAGCGTCTGCTGTGGACTCATCTTGTTCTGTTTCCAATAATAATAATAATAATAATAATAACAATAATAAAGGCTACCTTGCACGCATCATTCGAAAATTCATCACACAGTCCTAGACGCTTGGGAAGTGTTTGACTTGAGATTTTGTGATACGAAATCCAGCATATAGATCTCATTTGCTGTGACGTACTGTGTTTTTGTGTCAGAAAAATAATAATAATAATAATAATAGTGTCGTGTGATCCAATACAATAGCCAGCAGAGAGTCTGCTGTGGACTCATCTTATTGTGTTTCAAATAATAATAATAATAATAATAATAATAATAATAATAATAATACATAATAATAATACATAATAATAATAATAATAATAATAATAATAATAATAATAATAATAATAATTTGAATAATGGGAAGTGTCCGACGTGTGATCCAATACAACAGCCAGCAGAGTGACCTTGTTTGGTGTGGACTCATCTTATTGTGTTAATAATAATAATAATAATAATAATAATAATAATAATAAAACAGCCAGCAGAGTGTCTGCTGTGGACTCATCTTGTTGTGCTTAATAATAATAATAATAATAATAATAATAATAATAATAATAATAATAATTTTATTTTTGAAGTGTCTGACATGTGATCCAATACAACAGCCAGCAGAGTGATCTTGTCTGCTGTGGACTCATCTTATTGTGTTTCAAATAATAATAATAATAATAATAATAATAATAATAATAATAATAATAACAACAACACCAACAACAACAACAACAATAATAATAACACTTGGGAAGTGTCTGACATGTGATCCAACACAACAGCCAGCAGAGTGTCTGCTGTGGACTCATCTTATTGTGTTTCAAATAATAATAATAATAATAATAATAATAATAATAATAATAATAATAATAATTGATGTCACCATACCAACAGCCAGCAGAGTGATCTTGTCTGCTGTGGACTCATCTTATTGTGTTTCAAATAATAATAATAATAATAATAATAATAATAACATTATTCGCTGATACATCACACAGTCCTAGACACTTGGGAAGTGTCCGATGTGTGATCCAACACAACAGCCAGCAGAGTGTCTGCTGTGGACTCATCTTGTTGTGTTTCAAATAATAATAATAATAATAATAATAATAATAATAATAATAATAATAATAATAATAGTAATAATAATAATGACTACCTTGGATCTGCGCGCATCATTCGAAAATTCATCACACCTCTGCAATCCATTGTAACGGATGGGGCAGAAACACTTGCACGGTTCCGGGGCTCCTGGAAGCAATGGCTAATGGCACACCTTTTCCAATTCTTTGCGCAGCCATCGACGACCTCATGACACCCGAAGAGAAGGCCAAGCTTTTCACTGCCATCGGTTACAGTGACAGCTCTCACAATTTGGCTTTGCCTAAGCAGGTATTTGCGCATTTTCATTTTCAACTTGTGCTACAGAGAACTGACTGTCCCCGAGTTACAAACATCTGACTTAAAAACGACTCACAATTAAGAATAGGGCTGAGACAACAAGAAGTGAGGGACATCTATCTTTAAGCAGGGAAATGCGCTCCTGGAAATGTTACTTATCATTATCAAGCCTATATGTGTGTGTATGTGTTTTTATATATATATATATATATATATATATATATATATATATATATATATATATATATATATGCTAGCTGTCCCCTGCCACGCGTTGCTGTGGCCCACTCTGGTGGTCATGGGGGTTCTGTGTGGGAGGTTTGGCCCAATTCTATCGTTGGTGGGGTTCAGAATGCTCTGTGATTGTAGGTGAACTACAAATCCCAGCAACTACAACTCCCAAATGTCAAGATTCCATTTTCCCAAACTCCACCAGTGTTCACATTTGGGCATATTCGTGTAGAGTTTGGTCCAGATCCATCATTGTTTGAGTCCACAGTGTTCTCTGGATGTAGGTGAACTACAACTCCAAAACCAAAGTTGGTGGGGTTCAGAATGCTCTTTGATTGTAAGTGAACTTCCTACTCTCTTCTTCTTCCTCTTTTTCTTCTTCTTTTTCTCTTCTTCTTCCACTTCCTCTTTTTCCTCTTTTTCTTCTTCTTCCTCTTCCTCCACTTCCTCTTCTTCTTCCTCTTTTTCTTCTTCCTTTTCTTCTTCCTCTTCCTCTTTTCCTTCCTCTTCCTCCTCTTCCTCCTCTTCCTCCTCGTTTCGTCTTCTTCCTCTTCTTCTTCTTCTTCCTCCTCCTCTTCTTCTTCTTCTTCCTCCTCTTCCTCCTCCTCCTCTTCTTCTTCTTCTTATTTATTTATTTATTTCGAGCACTTCTACCCCGCCCTTCTCAACCCCCTAGGGGGGACTCAGGGCGGTATAATATAATATAATATAATATAATATAATATAATATAATATAATAGTGGGTTATAATATTATTTATACCCCACTACTTCTCTCCGCAAGGAAACTCAGACATTTATTATTATTATTATTATTATTATTATTATTGTGTATATTATTATTTATACCCTGCTTGTTTTTTCCACAAGGAGACAGAGACTATTATTATTATGTTTATTATTTATACCCCACTACTTCTCTTCGCAAGGAAACTCAGACATTTATTATTATTATTATTATTATTATTATTATTATTATTATTGTGTACATTATTATTTATACCCCGCTTGTTCTTTCCACAAGGAGACAAAGAGACTATTATTATTATTATTATTATTATTATTATTATGTTTATTATTTATACCCCACTACTTCTCTCCGCAAGGAGACTCAGACATTTATTATTATTATTATTATTATTATTATTATTATTATTGTGTACATTATTATTTATACCCCGCTTGTTCTTTCCACAAGGAGACAAAGAGACTATTATTATTATTATTATTATTATTATTATTATGTTTATTATTTATACCCCACTACTTCTCTCCGCAAGGAAACTCAGACATTTATTATTATTATTATTATTATTATTATTGTGTATATTATTATTTATACCCCGCTCGTTCTTTCCACAAGGAGACAAAGAGACTATTATTATTATTATGTTTATTATTTATACCCCACTACTTCTCTCCGCAAGGAAACTCAGACATTTATTATTATTATTATTATTATTATTGTGTACATTATTATTTATACCCTGCTTGTTCTTTCCACAAGGAGACAAAGAGACTATTGTTATTATTATTATGTTTATTATTTATACCCCACTACTTCTCTCCGCAAGGAAACTCAGACATTTATTATTATTATTATTATTATTATTATTATTATTATTGTGTACATTATTATTTATACCCCGCTTGTTCTTTCCACAAGGAGACAAAGAGACTATTATTATTATTATTATTATTATTATTATTATGTTTATTATTTATACCCCACTACTTCTCTCCGCAAGGAGACTCAGACATTTATTATTATTATTATTATTATTATTATTATTATTATTGTGTACATTATTATTTATACCCCGCTTGTTCTTTCCACAAGGAGACAAAGAGACTATTATTATTATTATTATTATTATTATTATGTTTATTATTTATACCCCACTACTTCTCTCCGCAAGGAAACTCAGACATTTATTATTATTATTATTATTATTATTATTATTATTATTATTATTATTGTGTATATTATTATTTATACCCCGCTCGTTCTTTCCACAAGGAGACAAAGAGACTATTATTATTATTATTATTATTATGTTTATTTATACCCTGCTTCTTTTTGCCACAAAGGAGACTCAAATCGGCTTATATTTAAATAATTTCCATACAATTTAAAATATCGAAACATCAAAACAGAATTATATATCATTGATATATTTTTTTAAAAAATTAATTTATTTTTTTAAAATTCAATTAAAATGCATAAACACCGTAGATCTGTAGTCTTAACATGCTGTGTTTTGGGGTGGAGTTGGGATTTGTAAAAGATGCCATTTTCTTGCACTCAGAGTGTTTTACTTGGAATATATAGCAAGGATTTGTGACAGGTGTGTGTCCCTCTTGTGTAGTACGTGGCTCACGTGATGTCTTTGAAACTCCTGAGCACCTCCTTCACCATCAAAGAAGACAGGAACGTCCCCGACACCCTGAAGATCCAGATCATCGACTTGAGCACCACAATTTCCCAGAGACCTGGAGCCCAAGCCCTGAAGTAAGGACCCGCTTTGACGATCCACTAATTTAAGATCAGACTGCCCAACACTGATTAAACTATTATTCTAACCTCCTTCAATGTAAATGGGCTTACTAGGCATGGTTAGCTACGTCGGAATCTTCGTAATTCGGAATAAATTTGGAAAAATTACCTTTTTGAAACGATTTTGATGTTTTTAAGAAAACCGGAAGTCCCTTTGCCCTTCTGAAGCTTTTCCTGCCATTTTTGTTATGACCCATGAAGTGAATCGGAAATGATGCAGCTTTTCCCTGCTTCTAGTCCCTGGCCTCGGCTCAAGCCAGATAAGCCAGTTTTAAACCAGAGAAGGAAAGAATTTACTCCACTTGCTTTTCCCCGCTTCTGGTTCCTGGCCTCGGCTCAAGCCAGAGAAGAAAGTAATTTCCTGGCCTTGGCTCAAGGCAGAGAAGCCAGTTTTAAACTAGAGAAGGAAAGAATTTACTCCGCTTGCTTTTTTCCTGCTTCTGATCCCTGGCCTCGGCTCTAGCCAGAGAAGCGAGTTTTAAACCAGAAAATTTATTTATTATTTATTTATTTACTTTGCTTCTATACCGCTGTATCTCAAGCCCGAAGGCGACTCACAGCGGTTCACAAACAGTAAAAACAGTAGAAACAGCAGTGGTTCCATACAACATATAACAATTGACTTAACACATTATCCATAAATTATCAATAAGCAATTACAATGCACAATTATTACAAAAAACAACCGTACCCAATCTTCTCATCATCCAAGCGTAGTCCAGGTTCGTCGTCCATTGTTCCATTCCTATGTTCCATTACCAGATGGCACTAAATTACTCAAACGGAATTTCCTGTTCTCGACTTAAACCAGAGAAGCCAGTTTTAAACCAGAGAAGGAAAGAATTTACTCCGCTTGCTTTTCCCTGCTTCTGGCCCCTGGCCTCGTCGCAAGCCAGAGAAGCCAGTTTTAAACCAGAAAAGGGAGGAATTTCCCGGCCTCGGCGCAAGCCAGAGAGACCAGTTTTAAACCAGAGAAGGAAAGAATTTACTCCGCTTGCTTTTCCCCGCTTCTGGCCCCTGGCCTCAGCTCTAGCCAGAGAAAGCAGTTTTAATCCAGAGAAGGAAAGAATGTACTCCGCTTGCTTTTCCCCGCTTCTGGCTCCTGACCTCGGCTCTAGCCAGAGAAGCCAGTTTTAAACCAGAAAAGGGAGGAATTTCCTGCCCTCGGCTCAAACCAGAGAAGCCAGTTTTAAACCAGAGAAGGAAAGAATTTACTCCGCTTGCTTTTCCCCGCTTCTGGCCCCTGGCCTCGTCGCAAGCCAGAGAAGCCAGTTTTAAACCAGAAAAGGGAAAAATTTCCTGGCCTCGGCTCAAGCCAGATAAGCCAGTTTTAAACCAGAGAAGGAAAGAATTTACTCCGCTTGCTTTTCCCCACTTCTGGCCCCTGGCCTCAGCTCTAGCCAGAGAAAGCAGTTTTAATCCAGAGAAGGAAAGAATGTACTCCGCTTGCTTTTCCCCGCTTCTGGCTCCTGACCTCGGCTCTAGCCAGAGAAGCCAGTTTTAAACCAGAAAAGGGAGGAATTTCCTGCCCTCGGCTCAAACCAGAGAAGCCAGTTTTAAACCAGAGAAGGAAAGAATTTACTCCGCTTGCTTTTCCCCGCTTCTGGCCCCTGGACTCGGCTAAAGCCAGAGAAGGCAGTTTTAAACCAGAAAAGGAAGGAATTTCCTGGCCTTGGCTCAAGCCAGAGAAGCTAGTTTTAAACCAGAGAAGGAAAGAATGTAATCCGTTTGCTTTTCCCCCCTTCTGGCCCCTGGCCTTGGCTCTAGACAGAGAAACCATTTTTAAACCAGAAAAGGGAGGAATTTCCTGGCCTGGGTTCAAGCCAGAGAAGCCAGTTTTAAACCAGAGAAGGAAAGAATTTACTCCGCTTGCTTTTCCCCGCTTCTGGCCCTTGACCTCGGCTCAAGCCAGAGAAGCCATTTTAAATCAGAAAAGGGAGGAATTTCCTGTTCTCAGCTCAAGCCAGAGAAGCCAGTTTTAAACCAGAGAAGGAAGGAATTTACTCCGCTTGCTTTTCCCTGCTTTTGGCCCCTAACCTCGGCTCAAACCAGAGAAGCCAGTTTTAAACCAGAAAAGGGAGGAATTTACTCCGCTTGCTTTTTCCCTGCTTCTGATCCCTGGCCTCAGCTCAAACCAGAGAAGCCAGTTTTAAACCAGAGAAGGAAAGAATTTACTCCATTTGCTTTTCCCCGCTTCTGGCCCCTGACCTCGATTCTAGTCAGATAAGCCAGTTTTAAACCAGAAAAGGGAGGAATTTCCTGGCCTCGACTCAAGCCAGAGAAGCCAGTTTTAAACCAGAGAAGGAAAGAATTTACTCCGCTTGCATTTCCACACTTCTGGCCCCTGGCCTCGGCGCAAGCCAGAGAAGCCAGTTTTAAAAGCAGAAAATGGAGGAATTTCCTGGCCTCGGCTCTAGCCAGAGAAGCCAGTTTTAAACGAGAGAAGGAAAGACTTTACTCCGCTTGCTTTTCCCCGCTTCTGGCCGCTGGACTCGGCTCTAGCCAGAGAAGCCAGTTTTAAACCAGAAAAGGGAGGAATTTCCTGGCCTCGGCTCAAGCCAGAGAAGCCAGTTTTAAACCAGAGAAGGAAAGAATTTACTCCACTTGCTTTTCCCCGCTTCTGACCCCTGGCCTCAGCTCTAGCCAGAGAAAGCAGTTTTAAACCAGAGAAGGAAAGAATTTACTCCGCTTGCTTTTCCCTGCTTCTGGCCCCTGACCTCGGTTCTAGCCAGAGAAGCCTGTTTTAAACCAGAAAAGGGAGGAATTTCCTATTCTCGGCTCAAGCCAGGGAAGCCCGTTTTAAACCAGAGAAGGAAAGAATTTACTCCACTTGCTTTTCCCCGCTTCTGGCCCCTGGTCTCGGCTCAAGCCAGAGAAGCCAGTTTTAAACCAGAAAAGGGAGGAATTTCCTGTCCTGGGCTCAAACCAGAGAAGCCAGTTTTAAACCAGAGAAGGAAAGAATTTACCCCACTTGCTTTTCCCCGCTTCTGGCCCCTGGTCTCGGCTCAAGCCAGAGAAGCCAGTTTTAAACCAGAGAAGGAAAGGATTTACTCTGCTTGCTTTCCCCCGCTTCTGGCCCCTGGCCTTGGCTCAAACCAGAGAAGCCAGTTTTAAACCAGAGAAGGAAAGAATGTACTCCATTTGCTTTCCCCCGCTTCTGGCCCCTGACCTCGGCTCTAGCCAGAGAAGCCAGTTTTAAACCAGAGAAGGAAAGAATGTACTCTGCTTGCTTTTCCCCGCTTCTGGCCCCTGGCCTCGGCTCTAGCCAGAGAAGCCAGTTTTAAACCAGTGAAGGAAAGAATTTACTCAGCTTGCTTTTCCCCGATTCTGGCCTCTGTCCTCGGCTAAAGCCAGAGAAGCCAGTTTTAAACCAGAGAAGGAAAGAATGTACTCCGCTTGCTTCTGAGAAAGCAACACTGATGTCTGCCTTTTGCAGACGTATACCAGGGTTAGGAGGATTGCCTGATTGCCTCCCTCCTTTCCCGCTTGCAGGGTGGAAGCCAAGCTGGAGCATTGGTACGTGACGGGCCTGAAGCAGAAGGAGGTGGTGCCTTCCCTCGTGGCCTCCATTGGAGACACCCGCTCCTCTCTGCTCAAGATCGCCTTTGAGACCAATCCGGAAGGGAGCTCTGCCGATCAGAGCCTCTCCGTGGAGTCGCAGCCTGTGGAAATCATATACGATGCAGTGAGTAGGAAGCATTTGCCCGCTGCCTTCTTCCCGTGTTTGTTCGATTCGTGCCACAGTGGCACCAGATCTTGCTTCCATCCTTACTATTATTAATACCCTTCCAAGTCTATTATTCTACTATCATTAAGCAGAGGTTGGAAGGCTGTCTGTCTGAAGGGATTGGATGGTATCCTCCTTCCTGGCAGAAGGTGGTTGGACTGGATGACCCTTGGAATCCCTTGCTATTCTCAAATCTTCTTCTTCACTGGGCATGTTTAGCCTGAAGAAGAGAAGGCTGAGAGGAGATATGATAGCCATGTATAAATATGTGAGAGGAAGCCACAGGGAGGAGGAGGGAGCAAGCTTGTTTTCTGCTTCCTTGGAGACTAGGACGCGGGGCAATGGCTTCAAACTACAAGAGAGGAGATTCCATCTGAACATCAGGAAGAACTTCCTGACTGTGAGAGCCGTTCAGCAGTGGAATTCTCTGCCCCGGAGTGTGGTGGAGGCTCCTTCTTTGGAAGCTTTTAAGCAGAGGCTGGATGGCCATTTGTCGGGGGTGATTTGAATGCAATATTCCTGCTTCTTGGCAGAATGGGGGTGGACTGGATGGCCCATGAGGTCTCTTCCAACTCTTTGATTCTATGATTCTTCTTCTTATTATTATTATTATCAAGCAGGGGCTGGATGGCCATCTGTCAGGAGAGATCAGATTGTGTCCTCCTTGATGGCAAAAGGGGGCTGGACTGAATGGCCCTCTTTGGGGTCTCTTCCAAGTCTAGGATTCTATTATTATTATTATTATTATTATTATTATTATTATTATTATTATTATTGTTATTATTATTATTATTAGAAGCACAGCAAGATGAGTTCACAGGAGGAAGAAACTTCTGTAGATTTGGAAAATGAAAGTACCAGTGTTCATGAGAATGTTTCAGAGGGAAGCCATGACCTTTCACTCCCTTCTGCACCTGGGAACCTTAATGAGAACAGAAGAGGCCAGATCTGGCAAGACAGGAGTGAATCACTCAGCTTGCGAAGGTCTTCCAGGTTAAAAGAAAAACAAACAAGGGCTTCAAAGCAGGGAGGCGTATCACGAAACCAATTCCTCGGCTTTAAGTGCCTTCCGCCAGGCTGACTTTCTCAGTTCAGGCATCGTTTTAGATTGATGAGTACCTTGGCAGTTCTCCCGGTTTCCCTGGCCATCGTCTTGAGAGATTTCTATATCAAGTACGGTTAATGGATTGCTAACAGGTTCCAGTATTTTACAGTGTGGCTTTGGGGTTTTGATCTTGTTCATGGACATTCACGTTTGCTGATTTTGCTGTGGCTTTTGATTTTGCATTTTTCCTTTATTTTGTAACCATTTTTCATCAATAAAAAAGGATTGTTTTTTCACAGTCAAGTGTGGTGGATAGTTATCGTAGGGCCTCGTTTCCTGCTCTGGGTTGCAACAATAATCCACCCAATAATCAGACCTTCCCCCTTTCCCCCTTTCCCCCAGAGGACGATCAATGCACTGGTGGACTTCTTCCGGACAAACAAAGGCATGGACCTGGAGCGCTTGACCACGGCCACGCTATCGAAGCTGGAAGAGATCAAAGAGCGGACGGCCACAGGTACGCCTTTGGGGATCCCCTTTCCTTTGACACCCCACGAAGAGCCCTCTTCACTGGGCTTCCTTTTCCTTTCCTTTTCTAGGACTCACGCACATCATTGAGACGCGCAAAGTCCTTGACCTGAGGATCAACCTGAAACCGTCCTACCTCCTGGTTCCGCAGACGGGCTTCCATTACGACACATCCAACCTCCTCATTTTGGATTTTGGCGCTTTTCAGGTAGAGCGTCGTAGCATTTCCAGGGGTCGGCACTCAGATAACCATTAAAAGGAGGGCACTCAAATTGTGGGGAATGCCTGCATCCTCCGTAATGGTGTCCATGGTTGTTCCATAGCTGAACAGCATCCATCAAGGTGGCAACCAGGCTCCGGGAACATCGCTGGAAGAAATTATGGACCAGGCCTATGACAAGTTTGACGTGGAAATCAAGAACGTTCAATTGCTTTTTGGCAGATCGGGTAGGAAGTCCTTGATCAAAGAGTCCGATATCGGGAAATATCCTTGTTTTCTAGTTTGTGCAGTTGGCTGAAAGTATTATTAGGTCCAGGTCCATTGTTGGTGGGGTTCAGAGTACTCTTTGACTGTCTATGAACTGTAAATTCCAGTATCTACAACTCCCAAATGTCAAGGCCAATTTCCCCCAAAACCTACTTGTATTCAAATTTGGGAATATCAGGTATGCATGCTAAATTTGGTCCAGATCCATCGTTGTTTGAGTTCACAACGCTCTCTGGATGGGAGTGCACTGCAACTGCTATAAATCTGTCACATCAGAAGTGACTTGCAGTTTCTCAAGTCACTTACAAACACACACACACACACAAACGCTGGGAAAGTGAACCACCTGATTGTGTTGTTATCTTTGGATGTTAACTCGTATATTTGCGTATGTGTGCCATTACCCCTTATGATCCTATGACTAATGGACCTTGTCCTTTCTCAACTGTCCTTCAGGAGAAGACTGGAAGAAGGCAAGGTTGGAGCACCCGTCAGCGCTGCACATCTTGCGCCCCATGGACATCCGCGTCCAGCTGGCCAAGTCCATGGTGGAGAAGGACATCAGGATGCCCAAGTAAGGCATTAGGGTTCAAATGGCTGGCTATATATGTACATAGCTATTCAAGGTGCAGGTTCTTACCTACAAAGCCCTGAACGGTTTGGGACCCGCCTACTTGCGTGACCGCATTTCTGTGTACGAACCCACACGATCTCTTCGATCATCTGGAAAGGCCCTGCTCACGCTCCCGCCCCCTTCACAGTCGCGGTTGGTGGGGACAAGGGAGAGGGTCTTCTCGGTGGCGGCCCCCCGACTCTGGAATTCACTCTCCAAGGATATCAGACGAACCCCACATTGGCAGTCTTTAGGACGAGCCTGAAAACGTGCCTGTTCCAGTGTGCCTTCCCTGAATAAAGGAAACAATCCGCAGCAAAATACCCTGAGAAGCACTTTAATTACCCGTTGGGTTGCTCTTTACTTTTGGTTTAAAACCCTCCTACTAGATACACCCTCTGTTCATCTCTAGCATTTATTTTTATAGTTTTAACTATTACATCTGGCCCGGCCATAGGTTTTTTAAATTCTCGTGTGTTATTGTCTACGTGTGAGGTATATTAATTGTATTGTATGTCCAAAGAACTTCTAACTGTGCTAAGACACAAAAGAGACATGCACAAGAAGTGGAAAAAGGGAGAAATCACCAAAGAAGAATATAAACAAATAGCCAACACCTGTAGGGAAAAGGTCTGCAAGGCTAAAGCACAAAACGAGCTCAGGCTTGGCAGGGACATTAAAAACAATAAAAAGGGCTTCTTTTCTTATGTCAGTAGAAAAAGGAAAAACAAGGAGGCGATAGGGCCTCTTCGAGGAGAAGATGGGGCAATGCTGACAGGGGGTGATAGGGAAAAGGCAGAACTACTTAATGCCTTCTTTGCCTCTGTCTTCTCACAAAAAGAAAGTCATCTTTAACCTCAGCAAGATGGAGTGGATGAGGGATTAGAGGACATCCAACCCCAAATTGGGAAACAAGTCGTCCAGGAATACCTGGCCGCTCTAGATGAGTTCAAGTCCCCTTTCAGGGCCAGATCAAGTACACCCAAGAGTACTGAAGGAATGAGCGGAAACCATCTCAGAACCATTGGCAATCATCTTTGAGAATTCTTGGAGAATGGGAGAAGTTCCAGCAGACTGGAGGAGGGCCAAGGTGGTCCCAATCTTCAAGAAGGGAAAAAAGGATGACCCAAACAATGACCAATGTCCAGTCAGCCTCGTGTCGATACCAGGCAAGATTCTGGAAAAGATTGTTAAGGAAGTGGTCTGCAAACACTTAGAAACAAATGCAGTCATCACTAACAGTCAACATGGATTTAATCAAAAACAAGTCATGCCAGACTCATCTGATCTCTTTTTTCGATACAGTTCCAAGCTGGGTAGATGCGGGGAATGATGCCGTGGATGGAGCGTGTCTGGATTTCAGGAAGGCATTCGACAAGGTCCCCCACGACCTGGCAAGGAAACGAGTCTAATGTGGGCGAGGCAAAACTACGGTGAGGTGGATCTGTAATTGGTTAAATGGACGAACCCAGAGGTGATTCTCACCAAGGCTTCCTCTTCATCCTGGAAGGAAGGGACGAGCGGAGGGCCATCATCAGGGTTCCGTCCTGGTCCTGGTCAGGATCTTCATTCATGACTGAGATGAAGGGCTAGAAGGCAGGATCATCAAGTTTGCAGACGACACCAAATTGGGAGGGAGAGCCAACACTCCAGAGGACAGGCGCAGGATTCAAAGGGATCTCGACAGATTGGAGAGATGATGGACCAAAACTAACAAAATGAAGTTCAACAGGGACAAATGCAAGAGACTCCACTTAGGCAGAAAAAACCAAATGCAAAGAGACAGAATGGGGGACGATGAGGCCTGGCTCGAGACGTGTGAAAAAGATCTTGGAGTCCTCGTGGACAACAAGTTAAACATGAGCCAACAATGTGATGTGGCGGCAAAAAAAGCCAATGGGATTTTGTCCTGCATCAAGAGGAGCCTAGTGTCTAGATCTAGGGAAGTCATGCTCCCCATGCTCTATTCTGCTTTGGTTAGACCACACCTGGAATATTGTGTCCAATTCTGGGCACCACAGTTCAAGAGAGATATTGACAAGCTGGAATGTGTCCAGAGGAGGGCGACTCAAAGGATCAAGGGTCTGGAGAACAAATCCTATGAGGAGCGGCTTAAGGAACTGGGCATGTTTAGCCTGAAGAAGTGAAGGCTGAGAAGAGATATGATAGCCATGTATAAATATGTGAGAGGAAGCCACAGGGAGGAGGAGGGAGCAAGCTTGTTTTCTGCTTCCCTGGAGACTATCATCATCATCATCATCATCATCATCATCATCATCATCATATTTAATAACTTATTAATCGCCCTCCATCCAAGAATGCTCTAGGCGATTTACCGCTAAATTATAAAAGATAAAATACATAAATACAAAAATTAAAAATCAACAGAGATCGAATAATGCTCTAGTCAAAAGCAAGGTCTTAAGTGCGAGAGTAAAAGGCCCTCAGTCACACATGGCTCTCACGTAGGGTGGTAAGGAATCCCACAAGGCAGGGGCAGAAAGGGAGAAAGCCCACCTGCGCCTGGTCCTTTCCAAGGGCACTTCTCTAGGACCCGGTATATGGAGTAAGTCACGTTGGGCTGGTCGTTGCGACCTCCGATGATGGGAGAAGGAGAGGCGGTCCCTAAGGTACGATGGACCCTGGCCATAAAGAGTTTTAAAGGACAGAACTAGCATCTTATACAAACCACGATACTCAATTGGAAGCCAATGTCAATGTTGCAGCACTGAAGGTGTTCTATGGCATTTCATGGGCGTTCTTGTGAGTAACCTAGCTGTCGCATTCTGAACAATACGAAGCTTTCGGGTCGTAGACATCGGAAGGCCCACATACAAGGGCGTTGCAATAGTTCAGCCTAGACGTGACCGTGGCATGGATGACTGTTGCCAGAGCCTCGTCAGATAGGGAGGGTGCCAGTTGCCTCGCTTGTTGTAGATGGGAAAAGGCCTGTTTGCTGGTGGCAGCGAACTGAGCTTCCATTGTCAGCTGTGGATCCAAAACGACACCCAAGCTCTTCACAGTGGTCGATGGAGATAGGGCAGCACCATCGAAGGTGGGCAACGGAGGAGTCAGACCTGCCGGGCGGCCATGCCAGAGAAACTCAGTCTTCGCCGGGTTCACCTTCAGTCTGCTAGCACGTAGCCAGTTCGACAGAGCTACCAAACATAGGGTCTCCAGACCCCTGATCTGCTCCCTCCTCCCTGTGGCTTCCTCTCACATATTTATACATGGCTATCATATCCCCTCTCAGCTTTCTCTTCTTCAGGCTAAGAGAGATATTGACAAGCTGGAATGTGTCCAGAGGAGGGCGACTAAAATGATCAAGGGTCTGGAGAACAAGCCCTATGAGGAGCGGCTTATAGAGCTGGGCATGTTTAGCCTGAAGAAGAGAAGGCTGAGAGGAGATATGACAGCCATGTATAAATATGTGAGAGGAAGTCACAGGGAGGAGGAGGGAGCAAGCTTCCTTTCTGTTTTCCTGGAGACTAGGATGCAGGAGGAGAAAGAGGAAGAGGAGGACATGCACAAGAAGTGGAAAAAGGGAGAAATCACCAAAGAAGAATTCAAACAAATAGCCAACACCTGTAGGGAAAATTTCCACAAGGTTAAAGCAGAAAACGATTAGGACAAGGAACAATGGCTTCAAACTACAAGAGAGGAGATTCCATCTGAACATGAGGAAGAACTTCCTGACTGTGAGAGCTGTTCAGCAGTGGAACTCTCTGCCCCGGAGTGTGGTGGAGGCTCCTTCTTTGGAAGTTTTTAAACAGGGGCTGGATGGCCATCTGTCAGGGGTGATTTGAATGCAATATTCCTGCTTCTTGGCAGAATGGGGTTGGACTGGATGGCCCAGGAGGTCTCTTCCAACTCTTTGAGTCTATGATTCTATGATTAATAATACTAAGAGTAATTTCTCTTTCCCGGCAGGTTCAAAGTCTGTGGGGAGCTGCCCCTGGTCCACCTGGGAATCTCTGACCGGAAGATCCAGGGCGTCTTCCAGCTCCTGGAGAGCATCCCTTTCCCCCAGAAGTCGGCTGCAACTTCGGCCCCGAGCACCATAAAAGTAAATGCAGGAGAGGGGTCATTCTCATGCATGTTCCCGGGTCATTGGGGAAGGAAAGCGGGATGCCATGCTTTGCATTGGAGCTCTCCGTGCAAATTTCAATTATATATGTTTAGGTTTCTAACTTTGCATTGGGTTTTTGTCAAGATCCGCTTTGAGTCTATTTTAGAGAGAAAAAGTGGGATAAAAATAAAAATAAATAAAAATATAAATATAAATTTAAGTATCAAAAATATAATAATAATAATAATAATAATAATAATAATAATAATAATCTATATAAATAAAAATGTAATGTTCGTTTGTGGGATTAACAGAACTCAAAAACCACTGGACGAATCGACACCAAATTTGGGCACAAGACACCTAACAACCCTTCACTCAAAATAATTGATTTTGTCGTTTGGGAGTTGTAGTTGCTGGGATTTATAGTTCACCTAAAATCAAAGAGCATTCTGAACCCCACCAACGATGGAATTGAAACAAACTTGGCACACAGTTCTCCCATGACCAACAGAAAATACTGGAAGGGTTTGGTGGGCAGTGTCCTTTGGTTTTGGAGTTGTAGTTCACCTACATCCATAGATCACTGTGGACTCAAACAATGATGGATCTGGACCAAACTTGGGACAAATATTCAATATCTCCAAATGTGAACACTGGTGGAGTTTAGGGAAAATAGAATCTTGACATTTGGGAGTTGTAGTTGCTGGGATTTATAGTTCACCTACAATCAAAGAACATTCTGAACCCCACCAATGATGGAATTGAACCAAACTTGGCACAAAGTTCTGCCATGTCCAACAGAAAATACTGGAAGGGTTTGGTGGGCAGTGTCCTTTGGTTTTGGAGTTGTAGTTTGCCTACATCTAGAGATCACTGTGAACTCAATGATAGATCTGGACCAAACTCTACACGAAGATTCAAATGTAAAAACTGGTGGAGTTTGGGGAAAAAAGAATCTTGACATTTGGGAGTCGTAGTTGCTGGGATTTATAGTTCACCTACAATCACAGAGCATTCTGAAATCCACCAACGATAGAATTGGGCCAAACCTCCCACACAGAACACCCATGTGGGCCACAGCAACGCGTGGCAGGGGACGGCTAGTAGTAGTAGTAGTAGTAGTAGTAGTAGTAATAATAATAATAATAATGTTCTTGGTTTTGTGGTGAGCCATTTTGAGTCTTTTTAAAGAGATAAAACAAGATAAAAATCTAAATCTAGTCTACTCTGTGTTTTAGTGTTTGATTTGCTTTTGCCAAGTCAGCCATATTATATAATTTTATTATTATTTTAATTTTATACCCAAAATTTTATAAGGTTTTACATGCCTAAAAAGTCGTCTAGTACCCCGGAATATACGGTAATTAAAAATTAATAGTAACAATAATAAGCTTATGCGATATGAGGATTTAAAGCTTGAACTGCAAAACTCTGGCACAAGCCAGTCAAGGGGTGGCCCAGTGGTGATCGGCACACAGGGTGCAGTGCCTAAAGACCTTGGCCTGCACTTAAACACAATCGGTACTGACAAAATTACCAACAAAAGGTCACCGTACTCGGATCTGCACGCATTATTCACCAATACATCACACAGTCCTAGACACTTGGGAAGTGTCCGATGTGTGATCCAATTCAACAGCCAGCAGAGTTGTCTGCTGTGGACTCAATGTTGTTGTGTTTCAAATAATAATAATAATAATAATAATAATAATAATACATCACACAGTCCTTGGCACTTGGGAAGTGTCCGATTTGTGTCCAATACAACAGCCAGAACAGTGTGTGCCGTGGATTCATCTTATTGTGTTTCAAATAATAATAATAATAATAATAATAATAATAATAATAATAATAATAATAATACATGGATGCTTTTTCTCTAGGGGCCTGCCATTCCTGTTGTTACCGATACACGGAAGGCTTTCCTTGGGACGCCTCTGTTGCTGGAAGGAGTGGCATCAGGTAATTCACGCAAAGCGCATGGAGAAAGCATGAAGCACTGGATTTCCCATTAGAATCAGAGTTGGAAGAGACCTGGTGGGCCACCATCCAGTCCAACCCCATTTTGCCAATAAGCAGGTATATTGCATTCAAATCACCCCTGACAGATGGCCATCCAGCCTCTGTTTAAAAGCTTCCAAAGAAGAAGCCTCCACCACACTCCGGGGCAGAGAGTTCCACTGCTTAACGGCAATCACAGTCAGGAAGTTCTTCCTCATGTTCAGGTGGAATCTCCTCTCTTGTAGTTTGAAGCCACTGTTCCTTGTCCTGATCTCCAGGGAAGCAGAAAACAAGCTTGCTCCCTCCTCCTCCCTGTGGCTTCCTCTCACATATTTAGACATGGCTATCATGTTTCCTCTCAGCCTTCTCTTCTTCAGGCTAAACATGCCCCACAGCTCTTTAAGCCGCTCCTCATAGGGCTTGTTCTGCAGACCCTTGATCATTTAGTCACCCTCCCTAGGACATATTCCCTTCTCATAATTATACATGGCTATCATGTCTCCTTTCAGCCTTCTCTTCTTCAGGCTAAACATGCCCAGCTCTTAAGCCGCTCCTCATAGGGCTTGTTCTCCAGACCCTTGATCATTTAGTCACCCTCCCTATGACATATTCCCTTCTCATATTTATACATGGCCTTCATCATATCTCCTCTCAGCCTTCTCTTCTTCAGGCTAAACATGCCCAGCTCCTTAAGCCGCTCCTCATAGGGCTTGTTCTCCAGACCCTTGATCATTTTAGTCCTCCTCCCTGTGGCTTCCTCTCACATATTTATACATGGCTATCACGTCTCCTCTCAGCCTTCTCTTCTTCAGGCTAAACATGCCCAGCTCCTTAAGCCGCTCCTCATAGGGCTTGTTCTCCAGACCCTTGATCATTTAGTCACCGTCCCTAGGACATATTCCCTTCTCATCTTTATACATGGCTATCACGTCTCCTCTCAGCCTTCTCTTCTTCAGGCTAAACATGCCCAGCTCCTTAAGCCGCTCCTCATAGGGCTTGTTCTCCAGACCCTTGATCATTTTAGTCGCCCTCCTCTGGACACATTCCAGCTTGTCAATATCTCTCTTGAATTGTGGTGCCCAGAATTGGACACAATATTCCAGGTAAAGTGGTCTAACCAAAGCGGAGTAGAGCATGGGGAGCATGACTTCCCTTAGATCTAGACACTAGGCTCCTCTTGATGCAGGCCAAAATCCCATTGGCTTTTTTTGCCACCACATCACATTCCTGGCTCATGTTTAACTTGTTGTCCACGAGGACTCCAAGATCTTTTTCACACGTACTGCTCTCGAGCCAGGCATCGTCCCCCATTCTGTATCTTTGCATTTCGTTTTTTCTGCCTAGTGGAGTCTCTTGCATTTGTCCCTGTTGAACTACATTGTGTTAGTTTTGGCAAATCATCTCTCTAATCTGTCAAGATCGTTTTGAATCGTGCTCCTGTTGCCATAAAGTTCCAGTCAAATATGGTGTCTTCCGTATGGAAAATATCTTGTCTCTTCAGAATCCGATGATGAATATTTTGATGCCGACGAAGAGAGTGGCGCAAATCAGAGCGTGAAGCCCGTCAAGGCCGAGGCTGCGCCCAAGCACGAGGAGCTCACCGACCTCCAGCTCAAGTTCGAAATTCGGGAGGCAAGTGTTCAAAAGAAGTTTTGAACCTGCATTCTATTGTTGCCATATGGTTTTGGAATATATGTATTTATACAGTGGTGGGTTTTGATCTTTGAATTTTAATTGTATGTATTTTATTTATGATCATATGTTTTGGCTTTGTTTTGCCACCTTCAACCGACAAGATGTTTTTTATTATTATTATTATTATTATTATTATTATTATTATTATTATTATTAGTAGTAGTAGTAGTAGCCTAAAGGTTTAACTAAACGAATCACCCTTCTTAATGCTTGCTTTCAACTTAGAAAATTAAACCTCATGAATTCTGGTTCATCTGTCCATCTGTCTGTCTCTTTTTTTCTCCTTTCATTCTTCCTTCCTCTGTCTTTATCTTTGTTTTCTTTCTTTCACATGCCTTCCTTTCTTCCTTCGGCTGTCTGTCTTTTCCCCTCCCTCCCTCTGTCCCTCCGCCCCTTCCTTCCTTCCATTCATCCCTCCCTCCCTTCCTTCCTTCCTTCCTTCCTTCCTTCCTTCCTTCCTTCCTTCCTTCCTTTGTGTCTTTCTTTCTGCCTGCTTGCCTTTTTCTTTCTTTTCTCTTTCTTCCTTCTTTTCTCTTCTTTCTTTTGTTCTGTCTCTTTCTTTCTTTCGCTGTCTTTTTCTCTGTCTGTCTGTCTGTCTTTCTTTTCTCTTTCTCCTTCCTTTTTTCCTTTGGCTGTCTGTCTTTTTCTTTTTTCTGTCTCTTTCTGTCTGTCTGTCTCTTTCTTCTCCTTCCTTCCTGTTGTCTGTCTTCTTTTCCTTCCTTCCTTCCTTCTTTCATCTTCATCTACTCCTCTCTCTTTCTGTCTTTCTTTCTATCTTCCTGCCTTCCTTTCTCTGTCTTTTTCTGCTTGTCTTTTTTCTCCTTCCTTCCTTCTACCTTCCTTTCTGTTTGTCTATCATTTTCTTTCTGTCTTTCTTCCTCTTATTTTCTTTCTGCCTGTCTTTCTCTCTTACAAATCAACAGTTTATTTTTATTTTTTTATCTTCCTTCCTTCCTTCCTTCCTTCCTTTGTCTTTCTTTCTTTCTTTCTTTCTTTCTTTCTTTCTTTCTTTCTGTCTGTCTTTCCTTCCTTCCTTCTTTGCTTCCTCCCCCCTCCCTTCTTTCTTCCTTCTGGGTTTATACAATTCAGCTTTCTATCTTTCTCTTTCCCTCCCTCCCTCCCTCCCTCCCTCCCTCTCCCTCTTTCTTTCTTTCTTTCTTTCTTTCTTTCTTTCTTTCTTTCTTTCTTTCTATCTATCTATCTTTCATTCTGTCTCCTTCCTGTCTGCCTTCCTTTCTCTACTTGTCTTTTTCTCTTTCTGTCTTTTTTCTTTCTGCCTCTCTCTCTCTCTCTCTCCCTTCCTTCCTTCCTGCCTTCGTTTCTGTCTGCCTTTTTCACTTTCTGTCTGTTTTTCTTTCCCCTTCCTCCATTTGTTCCTTCGTTCCTTCTTTGTGCTTTTCTTTCTATCTCTGCACCTGTTTCTTCCTTCTTCCTGATAAGGTCTTTGGGAGCTAGGAAGTCTTTCCTTTTTGTGGTTTTGAAGATACAGAGCACCAACCTTGGCTTTGAAACGAGCCTCTCTTGCTAATCCGGAGTGTCTTCGTGGTTGCAGGTGGTGCTGGAGCTGACCAAACAGCTGCAGCGGGAGGAGAAGGTGCTTGTGTTCAGCGTCCGGCAGCTGGGCCTGGAGGCCGTGCTTAGGACCTATGACTTGAGGGCCGTCTCTTACTTGAGGAAAATCAGCCTGGATTATTACGAAACCCAAGGTAGCCTTGATGGAACTCATCCTGCGTCTGCCTCCTTTTCTCTCTCCTATTCTCCAACGCTAGGGAAATAAGTTATTAATACCTTTCATTTCGGGGTCAGCTGGAGGAAATGGCTCTATCTGGTGCAGGATCCCATGTTTAGGAAGATTGGATGTGAAATCGAGAGGAAGGGAACCCTAAAGGTCATCCAGTCCAACCCCCTCCTTCCCTCCCTCCTTCCTTCCCTTCCTCCCTTTCTCTACTTCCCTTCTGAGGCGAGGGAGAGAGACTATTTCCTCTTTAAAAACCTCTTTGCTGCCTTATACTGATTCAGTTTCTTCTTTTATATTGGCTGGGACTTTCTGTGTGCTGTTAAACCTTTGTACTTTATATCGCAGGCAATGAAACACTCTTGTGTATAACGAAGTAACACAGTTTATTTATAACTTCTGGCTCCAACGCTTGTGGTTACATTTGTGTTTTGTTGCAATCTTGAGGCTTACAGTCAGTATCATTTACTTGGTTAACTTTTCTGAATAAACTATCAATGTTTCACATTCACAAACATGTTACTTGCTTTACACACTCTTGGCTGAATTATATTCTGAACTAAGGCAACACTAGCCTTCTTTATGTTCCTTAAAACTCGAGCTCTATTTAACTAACTAGTTCAACTGCATCTATGGCAGGCATCCTCAGAGGTTGTGAGGTTTGTTGGAAACTAGGAAAATTGGGTTTATATATCTGTGGAATAATGTCCAGGGTGGGAGAAAGAACTCTTGTGTGTTGGAGGTAGGTGTGACCAATTGAAACATTCACACCTGCTTCCACCCTGGAGATTATTCCACAGATATATAAACGCTACTTGCCTAGTTTTCAACAGACTTCACAACCTCTGAAGAGGCCTACCATAGATGAGGGCGAAATGTCAGGAGAGAATGCTTCTGGAACATGGCTAGACAGCCCAGGAAACACACAGCAAACCATTCCAAAGTAGATCCCACATATTCTTAATTATTATAGCATTTTCTATTTTATCTATATTGTACCGGTTACAATTTGTTGTTTCCATATTTCACATAGGAACGATATAATGACACCCATTTGTCAGAGTCCTTTTCAAAGGTATTCTTAAAATGTCTTTCCTTATTGCATCTGCAGGGAAAAGGCAGCAGCTGCATTTAATCAGCTCTTCGGATAAGCCTGGATTAGACCTCCTGAAAGTGGAATACACCAAGGTGAGCAGCATTCAATCCCAGGATACTACTACTACTACTACTACTACTAATAATAATAATAATCCCACTGCTTTTCATTATTGCCATGATCCCTGTAGTGAATCTTACCTAGTAGGCCTGAAAAGAAGCCTGGATAACAGTATGGCAAACCTCCATTTTGAGAGTGTAAGCCAGGGAAGCAGCCATCTTGAGTGATTATTTATGTATTTGTCGTGTCAGGGCAACCAGTCAATTGTATTACATTTCTAACAGAACAAAACAAACAGACAAACAAAACACAAAGTTTGCAAGCTTGGTAGTTGATTAAATGTCCTTTGACCAGTATCTGGCCACTTGGAGTGCCTCTGGTGTTGCCGCAAGAAGGTCCTCCATTGTGCATGTGGCAGGGCTCAGGTTGCATTGCAGCAGGTGGTCAGTGGTTTGCTCTTCTCCGCACTCGCATGTCGTGGATTCCACTTTGTGGCCCCATTTCTTAAGGTTGGCTCTGCATCTCGTGGTGCCCGAGCGCAGTCTGTTCAGTGCCTTCCAAGTTGCCCCATCTTCTGTGTGCCCACAAAGGAGTCTCTCATTGGGTATCAGCCATTGGTTGAAGTTCTGGGTTTGAGGCTGCCACTTTTGGACTCTCGCTTGCTGAGGTGTTCCAGCGAGTGTCTCTGTAGATCTTAGAAAACTATTTCTTGATTTAAGTCGTTGACGTGCTGGCTGATGCCCAAACGGGATGAGCTGGAGATGCACGTCCCGAGTGACTCCCAGGTATTTGGGTGTGCTGCAATGCTCCAGTGGGATTCCTTCCCAGGTAATCATCCTCTGAGCTCGGGATGCTTGTCTGTTCTTGAGATGAAAAGCACATGTTAGGGATCAGCTGGTTTTCCCTGTAATAGGCAGTAAGAGCACCTAGAGCTTCGGAGAGCTTCTGTTCAATCATCTCAAAGCTCCCTGCTTGAGTGGTGATGGCACGATCATCAGCATAGATGAAACTCTCTGTCCCTTCTGGCAGTGGCTGGTCATTTGTGTAGATGTTGAACATGGATGGAGCAAGCACGCTCCCCTGAGGCAGGCCGTTCTTCTGTTTCCGCCACCTGCTTCTCTGGCCCTGGAACTCAACAAAGAAGCTCCTGTTTTGTAGCAGGTTTCCTATGAGGCGGGTGAGGTAGTAGTCCTTTGATAGAAAATGGGAGGAGTTTGAGGTCTTCTGGGATTGGCTAGAGCAGATGGGAGGAGCCAAGTCTTAGGAGGGAAAAGATTTCAGCTTCTGTGGAGTTGAGAACTGGGAGCTGGTGGGAGAAGAAGTGTTTTGGAAACTGGGTTTTCAGGGAGAGAGAGTCTGTGTCAGACAGGGTTGATTAGCTGACAGGAAAGGTCAGGCAGCAACCTGATTTCTTGTGGGAAGTAGCACAAGAGATTAGCTCTCTAGGCTGAGTTAGTTAGCAGGAAGAACTCTGGGAAGAGTTAGCTGATAACTCAGGGGACTACCTAGGATAGGTTAGTCAGAAACTCATTATATTGTTGTTGTTCATTCGTTCAGTCGTCTCCGACTCTTCGTGACCTCATGGACCAGCCCACGCCAGAGCTCCTTGTCGGCCGTCACCACCCCCAGCTCCTTCAAGGTCAGTCCAGTCACTTCAAGGATGCCATCCATCCATCTTGCCCTTGGTCGGCCACTCTTCCTTTTGCCTTCCACTTTCCCCAGCATAATTGTCTTCTCTAGGCTTTCCTGTCTCCTCATGATGTGGCCAAAGTACTTCAACTTTGTCTCTAGTATCTTTCCCTCCAATGAGCAGTCGGGCTTTATTTCCTGGAGGATGGACTGGTTGGATCTTCTCGCAGTCCAAGGCACTCTCCGCACTTTCCTCCAACACCACAGCTCAAAAGCATCGATCTTCCTTCGCTCAGCCTTCCCTAAGGTCCAGCTCTCACATCCGTAGGTGACTCCAGGGAATACCATGGCTTGGACTAGGCAATGGATCTTTGTTGCCAGTCTGATGTCTCTACTCTTTATTTTATCGAGACTGGACATTGCTCTCCTCCCAAGAAGTAAGCGTCTTCTGATTTCCTGGCTACAGTCTGCATCTGCAGTAATCTTTGCCCTTAGAAATACAAAGTCTGTCACGGCCTCCACGGTTTCTCCTTCTATTTTCCAGTTGTCAATCATTCTTGTTGCCATAATCTTGGTTTTTTTGACGTTTAGCTGCAACCCGGCTTTTGCGCTTTCTTCTTTCACCTTGATTAGAAGGCTCCTCAGCTCCTCCTCGCTTTCGGCCATCAGGGTGGTGTCATCTGCATATCTGAGGTTGTTAATGTTTCTTCCAGCAATTTTCACCCCAGCCTTGCATTCATCAAGCCCCGCACATCCTCGCATGATGTGTTCTGCATACAAGTTAAAAAGGTTGGGTGAGAGGATGCAGCCTTGCCGTACGCCTTTCCCAATCTTGAACCAGTCTGTTGTTCCGTGGTCAGTTCTGACTGTTGCTACTTGGTCATTATACAGATTCCTCAGGAGACAGACAAGGTGGCTTGGTCTCCCCATACATACCACCAAGAACTTGCCACAATGCATTATGATCCACACAGTCAAAGGCTTTAGAATAGTCAATGAAAGCAGAAATAGATGTTTTTCTGAAACTCCCTGCCTTTCTCCATTATCCAGCGGATATTGGCAATCTGGTCTCTCGTTCCTCTGCCTTTTCTAAACCCAGCTTGAACATCTGGCAACTCTCGCTCCATGTCTTGCTGGAGTCTTCCTTGCAGGATCTTGAGCATTACCTTACTGGCATGAGAAATAAGGGCCACTGTACGGAAGTTTGAGCAGTCTTTCGCATTTCCCTTTTTTGGTATGGGAATATAAGTTGATTTTTTCCAGTCTGATGGCCATTCTTGTGTTTTCCATATTTGCTGGCAAATGGCATGCATCACCTTGACAGCATCATCTTTTAAGATTTTAAACAGTTCAGCTGGGATCCCGTAGTCTCCTGCTGCCTTGTTGTTAGCAATGCTTCTTAAGGCCCATTCAACCTCACTCCTCAGGATGTCTGGTTCTAATTCATTCACCACACCGTCAAAACTATCCTCAATATTATCCTTCCTATACAGATCTTCTGTATAGTCTCGCCACCTTCTCTTGATCTCTTCAGCTTCTGTTAGGTCCCTGCCATCTTTGTTTCTCATCATACCAATTTTTGCCTGAAATTTACCTCCAATGTTTCTAATTTTCTGGAAGAGGTCTCTTGTCCTTCCTATTCTGTTGTCTTCTTCCACTTCCATGCATTGCTTATTTAAAAATAGTTCCTTATCTCTTCTGGCTAACCTCTGGAATTGCGCATTTAACTGGGCATATCTCCCCTTACTATCCCTGTTTCCTTTTGCTTTCCTCCTTTCTTGGGCTACTTCCAGTGTCTCAGCAGACAACCATTTTGCCTTCTTGGTTTTCTTTTTCTTTGGAACGTACTTTGTTGCCGCCTCCTGGACAATGTCGCGGACTTCTGTCCATAGTTCTTCTGGGACTCTGTTTACTAAATCTAGTCCTTCAAATCTGTTCTTCACTTCCACTGTATATTCGCTAGGAATGTTAGTGAGATCATATCTAACTGGTCTGTGTATTTTCCCTGATCTCTTTAGTTTTATTCTGAATTTGGCAATAAGAAGTTCGTGATCTGAGCTACAGTCAGCCCCAGGTCTTGTTTTCACCGACTGGATGGATGTCTGCCACCTTTGGCTGCAAAGGATGTAGTCAATCTGATTTCGGTGTTGACCGTCTGGTGAGGTCCATGTATAAAGCCGTCTTTTAGGTTGTTGGAAGAGAGTATTCGTTATACACAGCGAGTTTTCCTGGCAAAATTCTATCAGCCTGCGTCCCGCTTCATTTTGTTCTCCCAGACCATGCTTGCCTGTGATCCCAGTTGTCATTTGACTTCCCACCTTGGCATTCCAGTCTCCTGTAATGAAAATAATGTCTCTTTTTGGTGTATTTCCAGTAGGTCCTGCAGATCCTCATAGAACTGATCTACTTCTGCTTCTTCAGCAGCTGTGGTTGGGGCATATATTTGGATCACTGTAATGTTGAAAGGCTTTCCTTGCACTCGAATTGAGATCATTCTGTCATTTTTTGGGTTGTATCCAAGCACCGCTTTAGCGAATTTCTTATTAATTATGAAGGCTACTCCATTTCTTCGATGTTCCTCTTGTCCGCAGTAGTAGATCTGGTGGTCATCTGATGTGAAGTGGCCCATTCCCAGTCCATTTCAGTTCGCTGACCCCCAGAATGTCTATCTTTAGTCTTGACATCTCACCAATAACAACATCCAATTTGCCCTGGCTCATAGATCTTACATTCCAGGTTCCTATGGTGTGTTGATCTTTAGAGCATCAGATTCGTCGTTCACCTCCAGTATCGTCGGCCGCTAGCCTTCCTTTCGGCTTTGAGCTAGCTGCGTCATCACATCTGGGGCTAGTTGAACTTATCCTCTGCTCCTCCCCAGTAGCATTTTGGCCATCTTCCGACCTGGGAGTCCCATCTTCCAATGGCATACCGACATATCTCTGGTTGTACCGGTCCATTTAGTTTTCTTGGCAAGGATACTGGAGTGGTTTGCCATTGCCTTCCCCAGGGATCACGCTTGGTCTGACCTCTCTGCCACAACCGTCCCGTCTTGGGTGGCCCTTCACGGTTTCGCTCATGACATCATTGAGGTGCTCAAGCTCCAGCGCCCCGACAAGGCGGTGATCCTTTGCTGGAGCATTACTATTTATTACTATTTATTTATTACTATTATTTTATTTATTATTCAAACTTCTATGCCGCCACTCCCCTGGGGCTCGGAGCGGCTTACAAGAACAGGCTAAAATCGAACACAGTTTAAAAACAATTTAAAACAACCATATCAAAGATCAAAGTCCTGTCGAGCCAAGTTTTCAGGCTCCTCCGAAAGATTTCCAGGATGGGGGCTTGCCTAATATCTCTGGGGAGCGAATTCCAGAATGGTTCCTAATTTCAGTTCCTAATTTCAGTTCCTAATTTCTCTACTCACAGCTCAGCTGTTTTCGAACTGCTTAGGTGGATAGTATGCTAGGCTTAATAGTCGGGTGCTCAATCCAACTCAGGCTTCATACTTGCCACCCTCTGGTTGGCAGTGATCTATTGCAGCAGGTGCTACAGCCCGGCCCCGGCCCAAAGCTTATATATAGTTAGAAAATGTCGCTGTTCTGACTTACAAACAAAATTCAACTTAAGAACAAACCTACAGAACCCATCTTGTTCTTCGCTTGGGGACTGCCTCTATTTTAAAGGATTTTTTTCCCCTCCAGGCTGATGTGAATGGTCCAAAGTTTCAGACAACGTTTGACAACACAGAACAAACAGTCCAGGTAAGCCAACTCTAAGGACTCAATGGAGCCATGGGTTCAAATGGCAGGGAAGGAGATTCCACTTGAACATGAGGAAGAACTTCCTGATCGTAAGAAGAGCTGTTCAGCTGTTATGGTTTACATTATTGTTTATAATTTTATATTATTATTTATTTTTATTTTATTATTTTGACATAATTTTTTTATTTATAATTATTTTTATTAGTCACATTATTATTTATGTTATTTTAGTATAGTTTACATTATTATTTATAATTTTATATTATTATTATTTATATTTATTTTATTATTTTGACATTACTTTTAATTTTTAATTTTTATTAGTCATATTATTATTTATTTTAATTTATTATGTTTTACATTATTGTTTATAATTTTATATTATCATTTATTTTTATTTTATTATTTTGACATTACTTTTTTATTTATATTTATTTTTATTAGTCACATTATTATTTATGTTATTTTATTATAGCTTACATTATTTATAATTTTATATTATCATTTATTTTTATTCTATTATTTTGACATCAAGTTTTAATTATTTTTATTAGTCACATTATTATTTATGTTATTTTATTATACTTTACATTATTATTTATAATTTTATATTATATTATGTTATCATTTATTTTTATTTTATTATTTTGATATTACTTCTTAATTGTTAATTATTTTTATTAGTCATATTATTATTTATGTTACTTTATTATAGTTTACATTATTATTTGTAATTTTATATTATTTTTAATTTTTAATTATTTTGATATTACTTTTTATTTTTAATTATTTTTAGTCATATTATTTATTTCAGTTTATTTGTTGTTATTTCAATATTTTTGTTTCATTTTATTATTTTATGACATTTTTAATTTTATTATTTTTATTCATTATTTATTTCATATTGTGGCGCAGCTGGCTGAGTGTCAGCTGCATTAAGATCACTCTGACCAAAAGGTCATGAGTTCGAAGCCAGCCCGGGTTGGAGTGGGTTTCCAACCAATTGTGTAGCCTGTTGTCGACCTTTGCAACCCGAAAGACAGTTGCATCTGTCAAGTAGGAAAATTAGGTACCACCTTAAAGTGTGGGGAGGCTAAATTAACTGATTTATGAGGCCATAAAGAAGACTCCAGCAAAGCATTCCAGCGGGGAAGCATGCGGGGAATGCGGAAGTGCTTCATCAGCGTCGCAGATGGACGATGAAAGCGACAGCTCCCCTGGTGGCCAGAAAAAAGTTAAATAGCCTCTGTGTATGTCTGTATATGTTGTATGTCAAAATTGGCATTGAATGTTTGCCATATATGTGTACACTGAGTCCCCTGCGGGGTGAGAAAGGCTCTTTTTTTGATAGAGTTACAAGCTGGGTAGATGCGGGGAATACTGTGGATGGAGCGTGTCTGGATTTCAGGACGGCCTTCGTTGACAAGGTCCCCCATGACCTTCTGGCAAGGGAACTAGTCAAATGTGGGCTAAGCAAAACTACGTTTAGGTGGATCTGTAATTTTTTAAGTGAACAAACCCAGAGGGGGCTCACCAATGCTTCCTCTTAATCCTGGAAAGAAGTGACGAGTGGAGTGCTGCAGGGTTCCGTCCTGGGCTCGGTCCTGTTCAACATCTTTATTAATGACTTAGATGAAGGGTTAGAAGGCATGATCATCAAGTTTGCAGACGACACCAAATTGGGAGGGATAGCCAATACTCCAGAGGACAGGAGCAGGATTCAAAACGATCTTGACAGATTAGAGAGATGATGGGCCAAAACTAACAAAATGAAGTTCAACAGTGACAAATGCAAGATACTACACTTTGGCAGGAAAAACGAAATGCAAAGATACAGAATGGGGGATGCCTGGCTCGAGAGCAGTACGTGTGAAAAAGATCTTGGAGTCCTCGTGGACAACAAGTTAAACATGAGCCAGGAATGTGATGTGGCGGCAAAAAAAGCCAATGGGATGTTGGCCTGCATCAAGAGGAGCAGAGTGGCTAGATCTAGGGAAGTCATGCTACCCCTCTATTCTGCTTTGGTTAGACCACATCTGGAATATTGTGTCCAATTCTGGGCACCACAATTCAAGAGAGATATTGACAAGCTGGAATGTGTCCAGAGGAGGGCGACTAAAATGATCAAGGGTCTGGAGAACAAGCCCTATGAGGAGCGGTTTAAGGAGCTGGGCATGTTTAGCCTGAAGAAGAGGAGGCTGAGAGGAGATATGATAGCCATGTATAAATATGTGAGAGGAAGCCACAGGGAGGAGGGAGCAAGCTTGTTTTCTGCTTCCCTGGAGACTAGGACGCGGAACAATGGCTTCAAACTACAAGAAAGGAGATTCCATCTGAACATGAGGAAGAACTTCCTGACTGTGAGAGCCGTTCAGCAGTGGAACTCTCTGCCCCGGAGTGTGGTGGAGGCTCCTTCTTTGGAAGCTTTTAAACAGAGGCTGGATGGCCATCTGTCAGGGGTGATTTGAATGCAATATTCCTGCTTCTTGGCAGAATGGGGTTGGACTGGATGGCCCAGGAGGTCTCTTCCAACTCTTTGATTCTATGATTCTATGAATATAAATACTGTAAATAAATAAATAAATAAATAAATAAAATAATGGTTTTGTTTTCTTCCCTTCCAGGTGGCGTTTTCCTCCTTGAACCTGCTCTTGCACACGCAGGCCTTGCTCTCCACCATCAATTACCTGCTGGCTGTCCTCCCGGCCAAGAAGCAGGACCCTCTGCATCCGGGGGTCTCCCAGGCACAGGGAGGGAAGCCCGGCAAAGAGGCCCCGGTGTCCAAGAAAGGTATTTCCCCTTCTCTGCAGCGTCCCGTCTTCCGCAAAGGTTAATTGCTCACTGCTCCGCATCACATTGATCAATCTCTTGCACGATATTCCTTCCAGCGGCCAAACCCAGCAAAGACAAGGACGTGTTTGACTTCAAGTTCTTTGCCAAGTTGGACGCCTTCTGCATCAGCGTCTGCGACGAGAAGAACAATATCGCCGACATCCGGGTTCAAGGTAATAACATAATGGAACAAAATTTAGAAAAAAAAAATGTTATTTCCAGTGCAGTAGGTACTTATTATTATCACCAATATTTTTGGAGAAATTGGATTTTTAAAATAATAATAATAATATTTATTTATCGTGTCATCAGCAACCAGGCATTTGTATTACATTTCTAACAGAACAAAGCAAACAAACAGACAAAATACAAAATTTGTGAGTTTGGTAGTTGATTAAATGTCCTTTGACCAGTATCTGGCTCCTTATTATTGTATTTATTTATACCCCATTTTATCTCCCCAAAGGGGACTCGAAGTGGCTTGGCATAAAACATTAGCATACAATTATTATTATTATTATTATTATTATTATTATTATTATTATTATTATTAATAATAATAATAATAATAATATTATATGTTATTATATGTTATTATTATATATTATTATTGTATTTATTTATATCCCATTTTATCTCCGCAAAGGAGACTCAAAGTGGCTTGGCATAAAAGCATTAGCATACTATTATTATTATTATTATTATTATTATATATTATTATATATTATTATTGTATTTATTTATACCCCATTGTATCTCCCCAAAAAGGACTCGAAGTGGCTTGACATAAAAGCATTAGCATACAATTTAAAATATTATTATTATTATTATTATTATTATTATTATATGTTATTATAATATATTATTATTGTATTTATTTATACCCCATTGTATCTCCCCAAAAAAGGACTCGAAGTGGCTTGGCATAAAAGCATTAGGATACAATTTAAAATATTATTATTATTATTATTATTATTATTATATATTATTATTGTATTTATTTATACCCCATTGTATCTCCCCAAAAAGGACTCGAAGTGGCTTGGCATAAAAGCATTAGCATACAATTTAAAATATTATTATTATTATTATTATTATTATTATTATTATTATTATTGTATTTAGTTATACCCCATTTTATCTCCCCAAAGGGGACTCGAAGTGGCATGGCATAAAACGTTAGCATACAATTTAAATTATTATTATTATTATTATTATTATTATTATTATATATTATTATATATTATTATTATATTTATTTATACCCCATTTTATCTCCCCAAAGGGGACTCGAAGTGGCTTGGCATAAAACATTAGCATACAATTTAAATTATTATTATTATTATTATTATTATTATTATTGTATTTATTTATACAATATGTCTCCCCAAAAAGGTCTCGAAGTGGCTTGGCATAAAAGCATTAGCATACAATTTAAAATAATATTATTATTATTATTATTATTATTATTATTATTATATGTTATTATAATTATTATTATTGTATTTATTTATACCCCATTGTATCTCCCCAAAGGGGACTGGAAGTGGCTTGGCATAAAAGCATTAGCATACAATTTAAAATATTATTATTATTATAATATATTATAATATATTATTATATATTATTATATATTGTATTTATTTATACCCCATTTTATCTCCCCAAGGGCACTCGAAGTGGCTTGGCACAAAAGCATTAGCATACAATTTAAATTATTATTATTATTATTATTATTATTATATATTATTATATATTATTATTGTATTTATTTATACCCCATTTTATCTCCCCAAAGGGGACTCGAAGTGGCATGGCATAAAACGTTAGCATACAATTTAAAATATTATTATTATATATTATTATTATATTTATTTATACCCCACTTTATCTCTCCAAAGGGGACTCGAAGTGGCTTGGCATAAAACGTTAGCATACAATTTAAAATATTATTATTATTATTATTATTATTATTATTATTATATATTATTATATATTATTATTGTATTTATTTATACCCCATTGTATCTCCCCAAAAAGGACTCGAAGTGGCTTGGCATAAAAGCATTAGCATACAATTTAAAATATTATTATTATTATAATATATTATAATATATTTTTTATATATTATTATATATTGTATTTATTTATACCCCATTTTATCTCCCCAAGGGCACTTGAAGTGGCTTGGCACAAAAGCATTAGCATACAATTTAAAATATTATTATTATTATTATTATTATTATTATTATATATTATTATTGTATTTATTTATACCCCATTTTATCTCCCCAAAGGGGACTCGAAGTGGCATGGCATAAAACGTTAGCATACAATTTAAAATATTATTATTATATATTATTATTATATTTATTTATACCCCACTTTATCTCTCCAAAGGGGACTCGAAGTGGCTTGGCATAAAACGTTAGCATACAATTTAAAATATTATTATTATTATTATTATTATTATTATTATATATTATTATATATTATTATTGTATTTATTTATACCCCACTTTATCTCCCCAAAGGGGACTCGAAGTGGCATGGCATAAAACGTTAGCATACAATTTAAAATATTATTATTATATATTATTATTATATTTATTTATACCCCACTTTATCTCTCCAAAGGGGACTCGAAGTGGCTTGGCATAAAACATTAGCATACAATTTAAAATATTATTATTATTATTATTATTATTATTATTATTATATATTATTATATATTATTATTGTATTTATTTATTTATACCCCACTTTATCTCTCCAAAGGGGACTCGAAGTGGCTTGGCATAAAACATTAGCATACAATTTAAATTATTATTATTATTATGATTATCTGTTATTATAATATATTTTTTCCTGTCGTAGTCAACTGTGAATACGCACATATGGTATCTCTGCGCCTGCGCAGTACAGCTTTCGGAACCTTCTAGAAGATAAAATAGACATTTTAGTCCCCGGCTAGCCCCGCCCACCCCCCTTGAGTATATATAGCCCATGGGCGGGGCTAGCCACCAGTTCTCTTCCGCCGCAAAGCAGCCAGAAGGCTTTCTTGGTCAGAGAGGGTTTGGCCTTGCCTTCCCTTGTGGCTGAGAGTGTGTGACCTGCCCAAGGCATCCCAATGGGCTTCCATGCCTTCCAGAGCCATTTTCCAATGCAGAAACCGCAAAGCCACAATGGATCTATTTATTTATTTGCTTTATTTTTATACCGCATTTTTCAGCCCTTGACAGGCGACTCAATGCGGTTTACAGTGCAATTAAAACACAACAATACAACAACAGGGTCGACGACGTCGCTCCACAACAATTAACAATCAGACAGGACAAATCAACAACCAACATATATAACGCCTCAGTTGAAGTCAGATCCATTCTCATAGTCATTGTGCCGTTCCTATGTTTCAATTACCGTCTTCCTTAATTAGTTGCATTGCCTAGCCAAACGCTTGTTCGTAAAGCCAGGTCTTGACCATTCTCCGAAACGTCAGCAACGAAGGTGCCTGTCTGATGTCTGCTGGCAAGGCATTCCATAGCCGAGGGGCCACCACTGAGAAGGCCCTGTCTCTCGTCCCCGCCAAGCGCGCCTGTGACGCAGGCGGGATCGAGAGCAGGGCCTCCCCAGACGATCTTAATGTTCCTAGTCGGTTCATAGGTGGAGATGCGTTCGGAGATGTAAGCGGGGCCAGAACCGTTTAGGGCTTTATAGGCTAAAGCCAGCACCTTGAATTGTGCCCGGTAGCGAATTGGCAGCCAGTGGAGCTGGCTCAGCAGAGGAGTGGTGTGCTCCCTGAGTGCCGCTCCCGTTAGCAACCTGGCTGCCGAGCGCTGGACCATCTGAAGCTTCCGGGCAGTCTTCAAGGGCAACCCCACGTAGAGCGCGTTGCAGTAATCAATCCGGGATGTAACCAGAGCGTGGACCACCGTGGCCAAGTCCGACTTCCCAAGGTACGGGCGCAGCTGGCGCACAAGTTTGAGTTGTGCAAATGCTCCCCTGGACACCGCCGAGACCTGGGGTTCCAAGCTTAGCGAGGAGTCCAGGATCACACCCAAGCTGCGAACCTGTGTCTTCAGGGGGAGTGTAACCCCGTCCAACACAGGCTGTAACCCTATACCCTGTTCGGCCTTTCGACTGACCAGGAGTGCCTCTGTCTTATCTGGATTCAATTTCAATTTGTTCGCCCTCATCCAGTCCGATACAGCGGCCAAGCAACGGTTCAGGATCTGAACAACAAACGCCCATGACTTAGAATGGTTGTGTTTCTCCACTGTTTCAACTTGAATTTACCAGACTTTTCCCCTGACTTTTCAGGTCTGAACTCCTCTCTGTTCCTCCAGTCGAGCCAAACCACGCTCTTTGCGCGGCTGAAGGATATCGTTGTGACAGACGTCGATTCCAAGACGGTTCATAAAAAGGTATGAAACATTTATTGCGGTTGTTGGGCCATTCTTTTTTTTCTTTTAAATAATTTTTATGGAACATTTTAAACATCAATACAAGGAAAGAGGGAGAACGTTACCAAAGAAGATAGAAAGGTAGGAAACCCGATCACCAAGGGGAAAGAAAAAAGAAAAAAACAAAAAGAAGCAAAAAAAAAAAGCCAAAAAATGCAAAAAAAAGTCCAGAAAAATTGCAAAAAATGCAAAAAAAAAAAAAAATAATCCACACACAGACAGTTCTAAAATGACTTCCACTCCAGTCTCAGGATCTTCTCTAAGTACTTCTTGATCGAACTTATGTATTCTTGGCCTCTGTTATTCTTCTATTTTTTTTCATAATCATAAAAAAGGGTCCAGTCTGTCCTTTTTACCGATTTTCCGGTATTTTTCCTCATCAAAAAAGTTAGTTCATCCATATCTCTTATTTCTTTAATCTTATCTATCCATTCATCAACAATGGGAGCCTGTTCTTTTTTCCAGTGTCTAGCCAAAATATTCCTATCTGCTGTTGTAATGTATGTTAGGAATTTGTCTTCATTTTCTTCAAGTTGTAATTCCAGGTCTGTGAAGCCTAATAAATAATACTCTGGCTTCTTCTTAAACTTTTTTTTCAAGATTTTTTGTCCTTGTTGTGCCACCTCTACAAAGTTCTGGAGAGACTTACTTTGCATAGAATTATGGAAAATATAGACCCCTGTCTGATCCCACAGCAAGCTGGCTTCAGGAAAGGCAAAAGCTGCACATCGCAAGTGCTGAACCTGACTCAGCACATAGAAGATGGTTTTGAAAGGCAGCAGATCACAGGAGCTGTCTTCATAGACCTGTCAGCAGCCTATGATACTGTGAACCACCGCCTCCTCCTGAGAAAAATGTATATATCACAAAGGACTACCACCTCACCCGCCTCATAGGAAACCTGCTACAAACAGGAGCTTTTTTGTTGAGTTCCAGGGCCAGAGAAGCAGATGGCGGAAACAGAAGAACGGCCTGCCTCAGGGGAGCGTGCTTGCTCCATCCATGGTCAACATCTACACAATGACCAGCCACTGCCAGAAGGGACAGAGAGTTTCATCTATGCTGATGATCGTGCCATCACCACTCAAGCAGGGAGCTTTGAGATGGTAGAACAGAAGCTCTCCGAAGCTCTAGGTGCTCTTACTGCCTATTACAGGGAAAACCAGCTGATCCCTAATCCATCTAAAACACAGACATGTGCTTTTCATCTCAAGAACAGACAAGCATCCTGAGCTCTGAGGATTATTACCTGGGAAGGAATCCCACGGGAGCATTGCAGCGCACCCAAATACCTGGGAATCACTCTGGACCATGCTCTGACCTACAAGAAGCACTGCCTGAACATCAAGCAAAAAGTGGGCGCTAGAAACAATATCATACGAAAGCTGACTGGCACAACCTGGGGATCACAACCAGACACAGTGAAGACATCTGCCCTTGCGCTTTGCTACTCTGCTGCTGAGTACGCATGCCCAGTGTGGAACACATCTCACCACGCTAAAACAGTGTATGTGGCTCTTAATGAGACATGCCGCATTATCACGGGTGTCTGCGCCCTACACCACTGGAGAAATTACACTGCTTAGCCGGTATTGCACCACCTGACATCCGCCGGGAAGTAGCAGCCAATAGTGAAAGGACCAAGGCAGAGACATCTCCAGCTCATCCCCTGTTTGGGTATCAGCCAGCAAGTCAATGACTTAAATCTAGAAATAGTTTTCTAAGATCTACAGAGACACTCGCTGGAACACCTCAGCAAGCGAGAGTCCAAAAGTGGCAGGCGCAAACCCAGAACCTCAACCAATGGCTGATACCAAATGAGAGACTCCCCCCTGGGCACACAGAGACTGGGCGACTTGGAAGGCGCTGAACAGACTGCGCTCTGGCACCACGAGATGCAGAGCCAACCTCAAGAAATGGGGCCACAAAGTGGAATCCACGACATGCGAGTGTGGAGAAGAGCAAACCACTGACCACCTGCTGCAATGCACCCTGAGCCCTGCCACCTGCACAAGGGAGGACCTTCTTGCGGCAACACCAGAGGCACACCAAGGGGCCAGCCAATGGTCAAAGGACATTTAATCAACTACCAAACTTGCAAATTTTGTATTTTGTCTGTTTGTTTTGTTCTGTTAGAAATGTAATACAATTGACTGGTTGCTCTGACACGACAAATAAATAATAAAACAGGAACAGATTTAAGGTCTAATGATGGATGGAATCGACATGTCCTTTTCCTTTCCTTTCAGGCAGTTTCCATCGTTGGCGACGAAGTCTTCAGTTTCAACTTGGCCTTGTATCCGGAGGCGACGGAAGGCGACGCCTATTCGGACATGTCCAAAGTGGACGGGATGGTCTCCCTCAAAGTGGGCTGCATCCAGATCATCTATCTCCACAAATTCCTCATGTCCCTCCTGGTGAGGCCCAACACCTTGCTTCGTTGATGTGGTGGGAAATGGGAAAGGTAGGCTAGGTACACATGGGATTCATGCAGAACAGTCAAGAGATACCGTAGAGTCAATTGGGGTAAATTGTAGGAGTGATGAAGATATTTGATTTGGATACGGATCTTGAGCCCTTGGTAAACAGCTCATTTATTTTTCTTGTATTGTGGGTTGTATGCTGTATGTGTATGTGTTAAATGGGTTTGTCAAGTGTTTTGATACGGCCAATGGGTGAATCAATGAAATGTACTAGATAGCATATTTCATCGCATAATAGTCGCACCTTTAAATAATCTATATATATAAAATCCAAAAGGGCATTGTTAGGGGCCGCAAAACGCGAAAAACCCCGGATGAAAAATCACCAAACTTGGCGTACGCATACCTCAAACCACAAGGTATGCAGAACACTCATCACAACTCAAAAAAACATAACAACAAACTCACAATTACACAACCAAACGGAGCATGCGCAGAGGAGTCCCAGCGCGAGTCGATGGCGCGCGCACATGGCCGCACCACGCCCCCTCCGCACAAGCCACGCCCCCTCCCATCGCCGCCCTGCCCCTTCCCCCATGCCAAACCGAGTGCGGCCTAGGCGCCAACGCTGAAGGCCCGGCCTGGGATTGGGAGCTCGCTCGCCTGTGTGTGCTGGGGGCCGGCCGGGTGCACGTCTGGCACGGGGGGCTGTTCACCTTCCACGGGCCCGGACAGCTGGTAGAGATGGAGATCCAGGAGATCAAGCTCAAGGAGGCCAAGCACATTGCAGAGGATGCCGACCGCAAGTACGAGGAGGTGGGTTGGCTGCCGTTCAAACTTTGCGGGTTCTCAAGGGCAGGGCTCCAGATGGGTTTTCATGTGGGTCTTGGTCGAGAATGAAAAGCGGACATCAATCTGTATATATAAAATCCATAAGGGCGTCGTTAGGGAGCGCAAAACGCGAAAACCTGCGACCCGCCTCTCCTGAGGACAGCCCTCTGCCATGCCCGGCCCAGGCCGCCCCCGCACACCGGCGTCTGGCTCCAGGGAAGGAAGGAAGGACGCCGCCATCGGGGACGATGAGGAACGGGAAGGAGGGAAGGAAGGACGGAAATGAGGGGAAGGGGTGTAAATAGGAAGGAAGGAAGGAAGGAAGGAAAGAAGGAAAGAAAGAAGAAAAGTGGGAAGGGAAGGTGAAGGAAGGAAGGAAGGAAGGAAGGAAGGAAGGAAGGAAGGAAGGAAGGGATATCAGAGAAGAAAGGTAGGAAATAAACAAAAGGAGGGAAGGGGAAGGGAAGGTGTAGGAAGGAAGGAAGGAAGGAAGGAAAGAAGAAAAGAAGGAAAGAAAGAAGAAAAGTGGGAAGGGGAAGGGAAGGTGAAGGAAGGAAGGAAGGAAGGAAGGAATATCAGAGAAGAAAGGTAGGAAATAAACAAAAGAAAGGAAGGGGAAGGGAAGGTGTAGGAAGGAAGGAAAGAAGGAAAGAAGAAAAGAAGGAAAGAAGGACGGAAATGAGGGGAAGGGATGTAAATAGCAAGGAAGGAAGGAAGGAAGAAAAGTGGGAAGGGGAAGGGAAGGTGTAGGAAGGAAGGAAGGAAGGAAGGAAGGAAGGAAGGAATATCAGAGAAGAAAGGTAGGAAATAAACAAAAGAAAGGAAGGGGAAGGGAAGGTGTAGGAAGGAAGGAAAGAAGGAAAGAAGAAAAGAAGGAAAGAAAGAAGAAAAGTGGGAAGGGGAAGGGAAGGTGAAGGAAGGAAGGAAGGAAGGAAGGAAGGAGAAGGCAGGGATATCAGAGAAGAAAGGTAGGAAATAAACAAAAGGAGGGAAGGGGAAGGGAAGGTATATGAAAAAAGGAAGGAAAGAGAAGAAAAGAAGGAAAGAAAGAAGAAAAGTGGGAAGGGGAAGGGAAGGTGTAGGTAGGTAGGTAGGTAGGTAGGAAGGAAGGAAGGAAGGAAGGAAGGAAGGAAGGAAGGAAGGAAGGGATATCAGAGAAGAAAGGTAGGAAATAAACAAAAGGAGGGAAGGGGAAGGGAAGGTGTATGAAAAAAGGAAGGAAAGAAAGAAGAAAAGAAGGAAAGAAAGAAGAAAAGTGGGAAGGGGAAGGGAAGGTGTAGGTAGGTAGGTAGGTAGGAAGGAAGGAAGGAAGGAAGGGATATCAGAGAAGAAAGGTAGGAAATAAACAAAAGGAGGGAAGGGGAAGGGAAGGTGTATGAAAAAAGGAAGAAGAAGGAAAGAAGGAAAGAAAGAAGAAAAGTGGGAAGGGGAAGGGAAGGTGTAGGAAGGAAGGAAGGAAGGAAGGAAGGAAGGAAGGAAGGAAGGAAGGAAGGAAGGAAGGAAGGAAGGGATATCAGAGAAGAAAGGTAGGAAATAAACAAAAGGAGGGAAGGGGAAGGGAAGGTGTATGAAAAAAGGAAGGAAAGAAAGAAGAAAAGAAGGAAAGAAAGAAGAAAAGTGGGAAGGGGAAGGGAAGGTGTAGGTAGGTAGGAAGGAAGGAAGGAAGGAAGGAAGGAAGGAAGGGATATCAGAGAAGAAAGGTAGGAAATAAACAAAAGGAGGGAAGGGGAAGGTGAAGGAAGGAAAGAAGGAAGGCAGGGATATCAGAGAAGAAAGGTAGGAAATAAACAAAAGGAGGGAACATTACATTTTATATAGATGTATATGTATGATTCACACACAGATATAGTATCATAGATTTGAAAGGGACCCTTAAAGAAGGACAATGATGTGTTCCATGTTCCAGAGTAGGCAAACCAGACACTCTCCACATCAACACTGACAAAGAAACAGCAAGAAATACTGTTTACCCACAAGCAGAAAGGAATTACATATATTAGAAACCAACTCTTTCTTATTACTTTATTTTCCAGATCACCAAACGGCCACAGCAATGCGTGGCAGGGGACAGCTAATAATAATAATAATAATAATAATAATAATAATAATAATAATAATAATAACACTTTATTTATACCCCGCTGCCATCTCCCCAGGAGACTCAGTGCGGCTTACATGAGGCCAAGCCCAAAATACAACAATACAAGCAATAACAACAACAATACAAGCAATTTAAAAACAATAAAACAATAACATAAGCATTATCAATAGGGCATCACACTTTAAAAACTATGGGTAGGCCAAATGTAATTCAAAATAATGCTGGACATGGGCGAAAAAGTGAAGGGGTGGTTTGTGGGAACATACGAGCAGACCTAAAACAATATAAAGTGCTATGGGATCATTATTCTGGGAAGGCACACTGGAACAACCACGTCTTCAAGCTCCTCCTAAAGACTGCTAGAGTTGGGGCCTGTCTGATGTCCTTAGGAAGTGAGTTCCAGAGTCGAGGGGCCACCACCGAAAAGGTCCTCTCCCTCGTCCCCACCAATCGCACCTGCGATGCAGGTGGGAGCATGAGCAGGGCCTCTCCAGATGATCGAAGAGATTGCGTGGCTTTGTATACAGAGATGCTAGTAAATTAATAAAACATATAAAACTTATACCCACTTCGCCATTCAAAAATGGGAGTGCGACTATTACGTGATGACATAAAGTTGCTGTTTCTGCTCCTCCAAAACAAATCCCCCTTTGTTTCCTTGCAGAACTTTCTGGACAGTTTCCAGGTGGCCAAAGAGGCCTTGAGCGCGGCCACGGAGAAGGCGGCTGAGAGAGCGGCCACCAGCGTGAGGGACCTGGCCCAGCGGAGCTTCCGTCTCGCCATGGACATCAACCTTAAAGCCCCAGTGATCTTCGTCCCGCAGTCCTCGGTCTCCTTTAATGCGGTGGTGGTGGACCTTGGGCTGATTAAGGTCCAGAACAAGTTCAGTTTGGTTCCAGCCAAGGACTGCCCGCTCCCTCCGGTCGTGGACAGAATGGAGGTCCAGCTGACGCAGCTGAAGATGGCCAGGTGGGTTGGGTTCAAGGTCACCGTGCAAGAGTGTCGTGGAAAGGAATATCTTAGAAAACTATTTCTAGATTTAAGTCATTGACGTGCTGGCTGATACCCAAACAAGGGATGAGCTGGAGATGGTCCTCCCTCGTGCATGTGGCAGGGCTCAGGGTGCATTGCAGCAGGTGGTCAGTGGTTTGCTCTTCTCCACACTCGCATGTCGTGGACTCCACTTTGTGGCCCCATTTCTTGAGGTTGGCTCTGCATCTCGTGGTGCCAGAACGCAGTCTGTTCAGCGCCTTCCAAGTCGCCCCGTCTTCTGTGTGCCCAGGAGGGAGTCTCTCATTGGGTATCAGCCATGGATTGAGGTTTTATTATCAAGTTCTGGGTTGGAGCCTGCCACTTTTGGACTCTCGCTTGCTGGGGTGTTCCAGCAAGTGTCTCTGTAGATCTTAGAAAACTATTTCTTGATTTAAGTCGTTGACGTGCTGGCTGATACCCAAACGGGATGAGCTGGAGATGCCTCTGCCTTGGTCCTTTCACTATTGGCTGCTACTTCCCGGCGGATGTCAGGTGGTGCAATACCGGCTAAGCAGTGTGATTTCTCCAGTGGTGTGGGGCGCAGACACCCCGTGATAATGCGGCATGTCTCATTCAGAGCCACATCCACTGTTTTAGGGTGGTGAGATGTGTTCCACACTGGGCATGCGTACTCATAGAATCCTAGAATCAAAGAGTTGGAAGAGACCTGGGCCATCCAGTCTAACCCATTCTGCCAAGAAGCAGGAATATTGCATTCAAATCACCCCCGACAGATGGCTGTCCAGCCTCTGTTTAAAAACTTCCAAAGAAGGAGCCTCCACCACACTCCGGGGCAGAGAGTTCCACTGCTGAACGGCTCTCACAGTCAGGAAGTTCTTCCTCATGTTCAGATGGAATCTCCTCTCTTGTAGTTTGAAGCCATTGTTCCATTGCATCCTAGTCTCCAAGGAAGTAGAAAACAAGCTTGCTCCCTCCTCCTCCCTGTGGCTTCCTCTCACATATTTATACATGGCTATCATATCTCCTCTCAGCCTTCTCTTCTTCAGGCTAAACATGCCCAGCTCCTCAGCAGCAGAGTGATAATGCGGCATGTCTCATTAAGAGCCACATCCACTGTTTGAGCGTGGTGAGATGTGTTCCACACTGGGCATGCGTACTCAGCAGCAGAGTAGCATAGCGCAAGGGCAGATGTCTTCACTGTGTCTGGTTGTGATCCCCAGGTTGTGCCAGTCAGCTTTCGTATGATATTGTTTCTAGCACCCACTTTTTGCTTGATATTCAAGCAGTGTTTCTTGTAGGTCAGAGCACGTCCAGAGTGACTCCCAGGTATTTGGGTGCGCTGTAATGCTCCGGTGGGATTTCTTCCCAGGTAATCCTCAGAGCTCGGGATGCTTCTCTGTTCTTGAGATTAAAGGCACGTGTCTGTGTTTTAGATGGATTAGGGATCAGCTGGTTTTCCCTAGGCAGTAAGGGCACCTAGAGCTTCGGAGAGCTTCTGTTCTACCATCTCAAAGCTCCCTGCTTGAGCGGTGATGGCACAATCATCAGCATAGATGAATCTCTGTCCCTTCTGGCAGTGGCTGGTCATTTGTGTCGATGTTGAACATGGATGGAGCGAGCACGCTCCCCTGAGGCAGGCCGTTCTTCTGTTTTTGCCATCTGCTTCTCTGGCCCTGGAACTCAACAAAAAAGCTCCTGTTTTGTAGCAGGTTTCCTATGAGGCGGGTGAGGTGGTCGTCCTGTGTGATATTATACATTTTTCCTTTCTGAATTGCTTGACTCAGGACGATCTTGCAGCCGGGTTTTTCGCAGCCCGACATTCCGATCCTGCACCCGATCAACCTGAATCTCTCCGTGAATCGCAACCTGGCCGGATCCTGGTATCACAGGATACCTATGATGGAAGTCAAGGGCTACCTGGACGTGATGGATGTAAGTGATTGCTTCAAACCCGCTTCTGCACCTGATAAAAAGGTCACCTGCTGAGTGGTTTGAAGATGGCTCTCCTCCTGTGCTTCTCTTTAGGTTGTCTTGAATCAGGAAGACCTGAATGTCTTGCTGAAAATACTGACAGAAAACCTTGCCGAAGCAGATAAAACGATGGGAGGCACGGAGCCAGGCGCACCAACGAAAGGTATTTCCACTGCGTTTTTAAGAGGCGCGCTTCTAAATGTATTCTACTATGTTGTGGCCTGATCTCGAGATCCAAAAGGAGAGGCAGGAAATAAATAAATAACAATTCTTTCTCCTCTTCTTCCTCTCCTTCCTCTTCCTCTTCTTCCTTCCCTTCCTCTTCTTCTTCCTCTTCTTCTTCTTCTTCTTCTTCCTTTTCCTCCTTCCCTTCCTCCTCCTCTTCTTTTTCTTCTTCCTCTTCTTCCTTCCCTTCCCCTTCCTCTTCTTCTCTTCCTCCCCTTTTTCTTCCTCCTCCTCTTCTTCCTCTTCTTCTTCCTCTTCCTCCTTCCCTTCCTCCTCCTCTTCTTTTTTTTCTTCCTCTTCCTCCTTCCCTTCCTCTTCCTCCCCTTTTTCTTCCTCCTCCTTCTCCTCTTCTTCTTTCTCTCCTTCCTTTTCCTCCTTCCCTTCTTCTTCTTCCTCTTCTTCTCTTCCTCCTCTTTTTCTTCCTCCTCCTCCTCTTCTTGTTCCCCTCCCTCTTCCTCCTTCCCTTCTTCCTCTTCACCTCTTCTCTTTCCTTCCTTCTTCTCCCCCTCTCTTTCTTCTTCTCCTCCCTTCTTCCCTTTTTCTCTTCTCTTCTCTTTTTCTCCTCTCCTCCTCTTTTCCTCTCCTCTTCTTCCTTCCCTCTTTTTTTCTCTTCCTCTTCTTCTCTCTTTTCCTCTCCTTCTTTCCCCTCTTCTTCTTTTTCTTCTCTTCCTTCTTCCCTCCTCCTCCTCCTCTCTTCCTCCTTCTACTGTGTTTCTTCCTCTCTTCTTCCTCTTCTCTTTTTCTTTCTCCTCCGCCTCCTCTTCTTCTCCTTTCCTTTCCTTCTTCCTCCTCTCCTCTATCTCTTTTTCTTCTTCCTCTTTCTCTTTCCCCTCCTCCTCTTCTCTCCTCCTCTTCTTCTTTTCTTTCTTCTCCTCCTTTTTCCTTCTTCATCTTCTTCTTCCTCCTCCTCTCTCTCTCTCCTCCTCCTCCTCCTCCTCTTCTTCCACTTCCTCCTCCTCCTCTCCCTCCTCCAGTTTTTCTTTCTTCTTCCTTCCCTTCTTCTTTCTCTTCTGCCATTTCCTTCTTCTTTGATCTATTTTTCTTTTGGAGACAGGTTTTCATTGGGCAAATTTTTTTAAAAGGAAATTTTAGCTTACGTTTAATAATAATAATAATAATAATAATAATAATAATAATAATAATAATGGAGAAACCAGGGATGCCTTCTGCGCTTGAATGGATCTTTATGGTTCTCCTTTGGCGACTAAAGCAGTTTCTTCGTCATCTCTTCTGAGGAGCAGCCTAACCAGAGTCTGTGTGAAAAATCAACAACACAAGCCATTGAATGTGCTAGAGCGAAACATCTGTACATGTCTTGGGTTGTTTTGCTAATTGCGGAATACACCTCTGCAGTTATTTTTGCTTTCTTTTTGGCAAGTGGCCTCTTAATAACGTGGTTTTCAGTAGAATCTCTCTCTCTCTTTGTTTTAGAATTTCCCAGCAGCCCCAAAGGACTGTCTGCCCCTCCCCAGAAGGACGCCCCATTGAACAGGGCATTGGCGACATCCAAAGAAACCACGCCGGAAGATGTGACCAACATGCTGCTCAACTTTGAAATCAAAAAGGTATACTATCTTGTTTTGTGACCTGTCCCCAAAACCGTGGATCAGTCCTCCCCAAATCAGTCCTGTATGCACAGTTGGCCATATTGCATCTGTGTCCCAAGTTTGGTCCAGGTCTGTCATTTGCAGGGGTCGCAGTGGTCTTTGAAAGTGGGTGAAGGTACTGCAAATCCCAATTAGACCTTCCAAGCAGCTCTTGATCAGACAAGAGGGGCACGGATCAAGAGAAGAGGTGGTTGGTTTTGCAGGAGCCAGGATTCTGGCGACATCCTCCGTGTGAAGCGGTGTAAATTGATCGAAGACAGACCCGTTAAGTGTTGACTCTGGGGGGGAGTTCCTGCTGAAGCATGGTAATTTTGTTAGTGAGAAATTTCTGGAATGCCAAAGCTGTAATAGGCATAGTTGTTGGGTTCTGGACTATACACACAAAAAACATATATACACAGACTGGGCCACAGCAACGCATGGCAGGGGACGGCTAATCAATCAATCAATACACATTTTCACTTTTATTATGTGTGCTAGCTGTACCCAGCCACGCGTTGCTGTGGCCCATTGTGAAGAAATGGGAAAGAAAGAAAAGAAGGTGGGGTTCAGAATGCTCTTTGATTGTAGGTGAACTAGAAATCCCAGCAAGTACAACTCCCAAATGTCAAGGTCTATTTTCCCCAAACTCCACCTGTGTTCACACTTGGGCATATTGAGGATCCATGCCAAGTTTGGTCCAGATCCATCATTGTTTGCGTCCACAGTGATCTTTGGATATAGGTGAACTACAACTCCAAAACCAAAGGACACTGCCCACCAAACCCTTCC